CCTGTGAGCACTATATGCATTCTGTAGCGGTGGCTTGCTGAGTACGGTTGGTACTCACCCTTGCTTAATTAAATCTTTTAGAAGGAGAAGTCGGAGCGATCTGTACGTGTGCCATGCTGATGAAGAGATGTCGAAGACGGTGGAGTAGGGACCTAGGTTCACCAGTCGCTGCCTGTTGAATAAGATGGACCGTCGCTGCTTTGCTTCCGCTACCATATCTACTTCTTAGGATTTTTGGTCTTTGTAGATGACCATGCTTGGTCTATTCGGGTGCCACTCGGGCAACCCTTATATTATTGATGTATTGTAAAGCCTGTATAACGATGTCAACTTGTGATATACAATGTTGTCATGTGTATACCATCTACTGATCCAGGGAATGGTATTGTAATCACATGAGGTTTCCAGTGTACAAAACCAGGGGTCGACAAAAAAACCTCCTCTAATGCAGCTAAGATTAACTAAATGCAGCTAAGAAAGACCTACAGCTAAGATTAACTAATAAAGACCTCCTCTAATACAAATTCTTCTGATGACACCATCTCTTCAACCACAGTAATCTTGCTTCATTAGTGCTAATGTTCTCAAACATCACTTTCTTGTGTTTGAGAGCAAATAGCTATGTTGCACAGAAGTATTCCACACTATCTTCTGCTACACCACACTCAACTGCCAACTTTTGACAATGCGTCAATGATTCAATCATGTCTTCTTTCTTCTAGTCCTTTAACTTCTTGTTGTTAACAAGTTCAGTAATGAGGGTAGTTGACTTATCATTCTCAGAGGAGAAAGAATTGAGCAGGCCCTTCATGAGCTTCACCACTGGGCTCTTGCTTTTTTTTTCCAGGACTTGAAGCTGTGGAAACATCACAGCTGCTGCTCCCTCTCTTCCTGCTGTTGGTGCTCATGGGACTGTTCTCAAAACCATCCCATGTTGTTGTTTCCCCTCTTCTTGTTTCCCCTGCTTCCTCTTCCCCTTCCTCTTCGTCTTCATCAAAACCAGGGAAATATGCTGTGGATCCATCAACTGCAACACCTTGGAACAGCTCTATAAGAAAATCTAAGTACTCAGGGTTGCCATTGCGAAATTTCCTGGCGTCTCCCTTCTCCTGTATTGACACTGAATCAACATCACAGAAATCTCCAAAAGCGTGTAAACTACGGCAATTTTTGACACAACTACGTACCTTGATTCTTTTTCCACCAAGCATCTAGTGAAATTATTTATCTATTCTTTATCTGTTTGGTTGAATGCTTTAGTTTAGCCCTTTGTAAATATTTCTCCTTCAAATTCTGGTACCCTCTAGTTGTCCATGCTCCATTTGGACAATGTCCATCCCTCAATTCCTCACATGCTATTTCACACAACGTGTAAGTTTTTTCTTCTGTCTAGCATGCCTTGTCAAGAGTATTCTAGTAAAGAAAACATGATTTAACCCTAAATTAACCACATGAACAACTAATGGCATTTCAATCATTGTAAATAAGAATGTTGAAGAGCAGTTTCAATAAGATGAGCTCACGGCAATGAAGTGCAAATAAGAAAATTGAAGAGCAATCTTGAGCCATCGGGGTTTACCGTGGGCTGACCATCGGGACCGATGTCCTCTTCGTCTTCATCATTGGCGTCGTCCTCAGCCACTGATGTCCCTTGAAACAATGACGCACCAAGTCGCCCACCTCCTCCAAAGACTCCAAATTCGAAGAAGGGGGGCCCGTCATGCGACATGGAGGGCGCACGAGCTCGGACACCTCCATTGCCGGACACTGAGCCAGGGGAACAAATCCACGCATCCCCCTGCCGGATCCCGCGCCAATAGTCAACGACCTAGCGCGGCCTCGTCCTCCTCCTCTCCCTCCACAACTTCTGCCGCGTCCCCCCCAGAAAGGAGGGCGCGACATTGCGACGGTGGATCTGCTGCCTGGCCGGATCGGAGGTAACCCAAGGCTACCCGGTTGAAGGATCTGCTGGTAGGAGGCGAAATCAGGGAAGGCGTCGGCCTGAGAGTTCAGATCCAGGCCCCTGGATCCCCTCCCCCCCCCCCCCCCAAAATGGATGCCGACGCTAGATCCAGCATGGCCTAACGACCCCTGCGAGAAATCGTACTCGGAGCCGTTCATGTGGGCCGCCGGAGCATCATTGTATGATTGGGAGAAGAAATCGTGAGGATCTTCCTCTACCATTGCTGCTAAGCAACTCGCGGTGGCTTGCATGACACCGGCGAGGCAAGTGCAGGGTAGAGGATTTGCTTGCGCGAAGCAACTGCGGGGGCTTGCACAGGGAGGCGGCGGTGACGACGCGGGGTCGAGAGGAGCAAGAGAGAGACGAGGCGAGGAAGAGAAGAGGCAAGGAAATGGATAGGGTTGGCACGCGCGAGGGCAGTGGGTGGAAAGGAGCTACTTTAGTCCCAATAAGCTCCTCCCTTAGGGACCAATGGACTAATGCACTTTAAGTCTTTTTAGTCCCTCCTGTTTGGGACTCTAGGGACTAAAGTGAAGCGACTAAAGTTTTAGTCCCTCCAACCAAATAGGCCCTAAGCTGAGCATTTGCTCATGGATCCATACTTTAAAGGCTTATAAAATTAAGTTTAATTAAGATATGTTCTGGCCAGTACATGTGTAAATTAGCCTTATTAAGATCCTGGATGAGGGGGACTTAATTTTTCAATCAACACCCACTAAGTTAAGCTTGAGTTTATTTGGGTACTATAGTGAACAATAAGTCTTATTGTCTCAGTAACGCATAATGTTGTTGTGACAGATTGCCTTGGGAAGCTATTATATTTAGTAAACTCGTTAGTTAGTCTCAAAATCAAGAGGAGAATGTTAGTTGATTTTATCGACTAATGCCGGTTAGTTAGGATAAGAGTAAAATCCCACCGGTTTTCTTATCAACCAAATAAGACATAAAATATGTTTTGTGTGATCGGTACAAAATAGATTCGAATTTTAATTGGAGACAAACCCCCAAGCCTTACCAGTGTCGCTATATATCATAAAGAGGAGAAGAGGCAGCGGTCATGTCGAGCCCTCTCTCTAACCCTAAACACTAAATCAATTACCCAATCGATTTTTAACACTGAAAGGGGTTCGTGAGGTTTCTCTGTTCGTTTTGTTTCCATGAACAGGAGAGCCGAACAGAATAGAAGAAGAAAAGACTTCAATGGCTTCACATCAAGGTCAGTGAATCAAATTCAATTTCTGCATTAAGCAGAGGTGATCATGTTTAGGCTAAGACTCAAATTAATTAAGTGGATTAAACTCCAACAGAAAGAACAGCACAGACATTTTGCCGCAAACTTAGCAGCAGAAGATTGGGGAAGATGTACATGAAAGAGAAGTCTGTGGAACGATATATTGTCAGACTTGATCGTTGGTCTACGTTGAGTATCGTAGTTCACAGGTATTTATAGGGTACCTGACCTCGCATAGATCATGGGAAGTGCATTGGTTTATGGAAAATGAGGCACGTTTTATCGGCAGAAATCCATAAGTATGCCAACCCCAGATATACATGGAATGTATTCGTACAAAAGATCGTATTGAAGGTAAAAAGAGTCCCTGCTGTGATCGTTCTGGGATTAATAGCAAAGCTACAACCTGATGTTGTGCTTAATTAAGTCTGAATCGCTATTAATTCTTCCTAGGGAAATCAGAAGGAATTTTTTTTCTGTCAACAAGTTATTCTTAAGATGCTGCACGTGCACTCAAATTTAACCATTAATCACAAGTAAATCTAGAATTTGCCTTTGACAAAATGACAAGTGATCGATTATAGGACTCTTTACATGGATGCACTCAGCAAATACAGTAATGCAATCCATTACTCCAGCAGTTAACTTCTCTAGTTACTGGTATTACTTTAGACGAAAACAATATTGGCTACTACCGGGGAAGACCAGCAGACGGCATGCTACTGAATTGGGCATAACATATCTTCACAAAAGTTAATATTCAAGCATCAAACAGATATTATACAGACATCAAACAGTTTTAGTCAATACACAAATGTTCAACCGATCAAGCATTCAAACATTTTTCAGCACTGCCAAATCGTCAGCAATTCATCTCTAGCATTGCAAAAGGCAGTACGATCTTTCCATCGTGAGAGGCATAAGAGAAACTAGTTATCACACAACACAACCCTGCTTACCCTACCGGTCACTGGACTGGCTGGACAAACAAGAAGCAATGCATGATATTGGTTCACACTGCTACCCACAATCTACTCGAAAGCAATATGTAAAATTTTAAAAAAAAAATCACAAAAACGTGGCAATATGTTCTAGAGAAATTCACAAAAATCAAAGTTCAGACAACGAGACAAATGAAAGCAAGGTAGGCTGAATCTAGCATTCAAGCCACACCAATCAGAAATACTACATCCGATAATCAACATGCGTCTCATCTCTTCCATTGTGAATTGTTTTCATCTGTCAACGAGAAGCAATGCAATCAAAAACTATACTTTCTATAGGTCCCTGAACACATATGGGCATTTCATTGAACACTTAACAAATGCTAAAAGACGACCAAAATCTGAGGCCATGTAATTTGCAAATCTGCACAGCAACACGTTACCGAAACAGAGGAAGAAAATCACGGAACACCAGAACAAGATAAGCAACTCTGAACCCTTCAGATTCTGTCGATCTCAAGCCAGTGCCGTGCTCGGAACCAAATGAGTTCAGTTTATTATGATTTGCCATGGACAAGCGAGCAATTCCACAATTCGTATGTAGCCACAGTCAGTAAAAGTAATCTATTAGCAGCTAACTTCTCTAGTTACCGGTGATAGCCTGCAGACTGCATACCAGTGACAACTTGAGAAAAGATATCTTCAATTGATCAAGCATTCAGTCATTTTTCAGTACTACCAAATCATCAACAATTCAATTCTAGCATTAACACATTTTTCAGCACTGCATTTTAGCTTTGTAAGAGGCATATGAGAACCTTTTTAAGACACAACACCCATGTCTTACAAAAATGTACACTACTGGACTGGACAAACAAGAAGCTATGATTGGTATTGGTTCCCGTTGCAATATCCATGTCTAATCGAGAGCAATAAGTAAAGCTTTCACAGTTTAGAATATGTTCTAGAGAAATTCACAAAAATCAAAGGTCAGACAAATGAAAGCATCATCTTCTCGGTTCTGCATTATTTTACTCTGTCAACGAGAAGCAATGAAATCGAAGCTACACTTTCTATGGGCATTCCATCGAACACCTAGCAAACGCTAAAACGGGACGACCAAAATCCGATGCCATATGTACGATATCACTACACAATCGTGCCGTGAGCTAGACCTGCTCATCCGCACAACAACGCGTCGCCCCGCAACAGAGGAAGAAACTCACGGAGCACAAGAACGGTGAAGCTGGCTCCGAACCCTTCCGATTCCGTCGATCTCAAGCCGGCGCCGCGCTCCGAACCCCCTCCCTACTACGCCGCCACCGCCGCTGCCGCGAGGAACCCGAGGAGGAGCAGGAGGACGGGGACCAGGGAGAGGACGAGGAGAACCTCCGCCCCGGAGTTCGCCGCGTGCATCGTGGCCTCGCGCCGCGCCGCAGCGAGCTCCGCGCGGAGGAGGCCGGCGTCCCGGAGCACGCTACCACCCTGCGACGCGAGGAGGGCTAAAATCACGCGGACGAACAAGCGAACGTAGGTGAGGAGGATGAGCAGCGGAAGGAGGAGGGGTTTACCGCGGCAGTGGAGCTCGATCTCCGTGGTGTCGTCGCCCGCCGCGGCGGCGCCGCGCGGGGATGGCGGAGCGAGGAGAGGAGCAGCGACGCCCTGGAGCAGCGCAGCGCGAGGAGGAGGCGGGCGTCGTGGCCTGCCGGCTTCTGCTTCTCCATGGCTCGGGCCGCGCGGGGGCTTCTCGAAGCTTCCGGGAGGCTAGGCGAGGCGAGGAGGCGGCTCTGCTTCTCGAAGCTTCCGGAAGGCGAGGCGAGACTACGCTGTGGTGCGGCAAACAATGAACATGGGGCTATTTGAAATTTCAAAACGGCGTGTGCAGTGGACAGAAGAGTCACTGGCAGTGGGGCCCACAAATGGGGTGGTGACTGGTGAGTGGAAAAAACCGGACGAAAATACCGGACCGGGCCACCGGTTGAACCGAAAAAACCGGACTGGGCCCGTGAAAGCGTGTGATTTTCATGTCCTGTTATTTTATCTCCCTGATCCTGATATTAAATTTGTAAATTTTGTTGAGGTGGTTATGGTTGGAGTCGCGTTATTGCGTTGGGCGTCGAATACGCTTTCAAAAACCTTAGTAACGATTTATAAATAAACTAGTCTTATGCCCGTGCGTTGCAACGGGTCTTAAATAACGTGAAAACACAATAAGTTATGTAAATGTATTTGTGAATACAATAATATTTACTCCAAAAACCTTCAAATGATGTCAATCAACTATAACACTATGAATTGGGCAATCTAAATTGCAAAGCATATACAATGGATTTAAAGATTAATAATAGACTGATTTTGGGAGCGAATTTAGAGAGTATGCAATTAGAAAATAATCAGATTGTATGGGAAACACAAAAATCGTTGGCATATATGTACTCCTAAGATGATAGCCAAACAAATACTCACAGTTTGTAGTACACAAAATTGAGATGTTTATCATTAAGCAAGTACATAAGAGCATGTCAAAACTGTAAACGTCACAGGTAGATGAGACTGCACAAACTTTCCGGACCATTTCTCTGCAATAGCAGGGGAAATTATTTCAGTATGATATGATGCGTTCATTTATAGGCAAGAATAACACAAAATAGCATGTGAAGAAAACAGGGAATAACACAAAATAACGTGTGAAGAAAACAGGGCTTGCGTATGTATATGACAGGCTGACAGCTGGAGCAAAGTAACCGATGGAACCTCTAATTCTGATGGAGCTGGATGTATTTACTGCACTTCTGCTAGTATGTTCAGATAGAAATAATCTTTGATACGCCAAAATCCCCATGTGTGTACTCATGTTTTCTGCATTCTGCTTGAAATCGCAGTGGATGATTGGTGATTGACAGTAGTGGTGAAGATGTGTCCGCGCCATCAACAACAATGTGCAATCTCTGAGCTAGGCCGAGGGTAATTGCTTGGATCAGGTTTTGGCAATTTTCTGGTGAAACCAACTATCCGAACTACCAATGGGGCATAAACTCAAAGACCAACGCTTTGAACTCTTGACCTTGGGAGTCAATGCTAGAGCAACAAGTGAATATATCAGCAGTGGCACACTCTTTGTAATGCATCACATTCTGTCAAAAAAACCATCAGAAGAGATCTTTTGAATAGAACGGCAGGAGCTCTGCCTTGATTATATTGAGAAGAGCACCATGCAGATGTGAGATGTCTGCAGAAGATATGGAAAAGTCTCACCATATTTTATGTAATTCTGTGTCCATATGTTGCAAAATATACACAAAATAGATATATATAGCAGGGGCTGCGTCATTAGTTTTTATGTAGATACCATGATCATGTAACTAAGACAGGCATCACAATTCACAAAATGGGTTGTAGCAGTGACTGCACTCATATGTACTATTTTTAAATTTCCTTGGCACTCTGGTCAAATATGTGATGTAAAAGATGATATCGTGGGCTGAGACAGACTGCTAATTAAGATGCTACTGAATTACTGAGCAAATATGTAATACAGTCAACCGGTCAAGCATACCTTCTAATGCAAAGCAAATCAACAAGATATGTAATACAGTTAACTGACTGCCCAAGTGTAATTAAGCATACCTTCAAGTGCGAAACTAACCTACAGTTTTGTAGCACTGCTATGCCAAGAAAAGAGGGCCTATCCTCATCCCTACAATCTTCATACCTTTTATCTATCAATCATCCTTGCTTTCTGTCTCCTCTTCTGTATCACTGTTTGAATCTTTATCATCTGTTTCGATCTTTGAATTCTCACTTTCTTCATCCCGAAGGCTATCTTCAGTTCCATTGGAATGGTCATTTGAGGATGAGTCGGTAAATGGGAAATCTACATCTTTGTGGCCACCAAGAAAAACATGACTACTGGGGTGCCTAAGAAACTTAGCTCGAACACTGCATCCGAAACAGTGGCCTGAAATCACACCAATCAATGTGTTACATTTTCAGTCTGTATAGCAAATTGCACATTGTTAAATACTCCCTCCATCCCAAATTATAAGGCGTGCGAGTTTTTTTATATGGTCTCCAATGTAGAACTTTGATAATTAATTTCTCCCATAATAATTGAGTACTTTCAAATACAAATTTAATGATGTCATATGCCTGAAACTAAACACATATTGGAGATTTAATTACTAGCTAGTTAAAAGTTGTAAATGTTGACTTTTTTAAAATAAGGATGTATTACAGTTTAGGACGGATGAAGTATAGTTTAGGAGATGCTAAAGGATCTAACTATAAACTTGTGAATAAAGATCTATGTCTGGGTACTAAAACTCCAATTCTCAAAACAATATGCACGAAACAGAAGCAAGATAAGCAAAAGATATACCATTGTCGTGGACATGCAAAGGGCAGCAAACATACACATCTTCGTCTCCTTTGCAGTCCAGGTGAACTTCTGCAAAGAACATCTTGAGTGTTGAAGATTCTAAATCAACCGGTTGCACCAAGAAATTGAAGTGCAGAAATCCTTGACCATGCTCCACGATAAGGTTCCGCTCAAGTACACTAACAACCCGTAGTTCTGGAGTCTGATACATAGGACACAACATGTCAGAAGTCGTTTTAAATCAAAGCATAAGTTAACAATTCATGCACATTTATATACCTTTTCACTGCTTCGACTGATGTATGCCTTCAATGCAATACGAAGACTATTGTAGTCCCGCTCATCACTGATTCTACGAAGCTCTTCACGAGGAGGCACTCTAGACCGGGATTTAACCATCTGGCAATCAAGGTTAGCAGCAAAAATTGTACACAGATCATCCACACCAAAAATGGACGGTGTAGGGGTGGGATCCATCCAACTCTTGTCTAATCCTTGAACTTGTACATCACGTTGGTGCCAATCTGCTCGATAGTCACCGCTGTCACATGAAAGTTCGGTAGAATAAAAAAATGTTATATATGTTTCTCTTTCAACTATAAATAATTGCAGCCCAAAAACCTCTCTATTGCTGCTAAAGTCCAGACCTAAAGCCTCAATATTCTGTCTAATACCAGCTACATATATGCCTAACAAAAAAGATCATAAGCACCTAAATAAGCAAACAATAATATATATCACCTGTACTGTGTGGAAAGTACGAAGCTTGGAGTAGTCGAAACATCACGTGGAGGTGAACCTGGGGGCGAGGGAAGCGGCGAATCAGAAGATGGGTCAAAAAGAGCCGTGAGAGATGAACTTGATGCAGATGATGCAATGCTTCTGGACATCTCTACTTAAAAGAACCTGCAACAAGAAATAAATTACTTTAGGATAGCATCTTAATTGGAAATTATATGTTTATATGTACAAGCAACAGCACTTAAGATCATTAGCCCCTTCAAACAAAGAATTTCTATCACCACAAGGAATTACCCCCCCTCCGTTTCATATTATAAGTCGTTTGATTTTTTTTCTAGTCAAGTTTGGTCAAATTTATAGACAAATTTAGCAACATCTAAAATACTAAACTAGTTTCATAAAATCTAACATTGAATATATTTTTTTCTGAAACAACCCACAAAGATGGTGCGATGTTTCTATTGATATAGCAGAAAAAAAAATACAAGTCTATAGTCCTGGCAGACTATAGTCGGAAAAAGAAAAAGACAGTCACACCACGTGTCTACGTCTGATCCTGCTGCTGAAAAACAAAAACATGCACTCAACACCCGGAATGGTTCTTCTAAATGACGCCTCCAAGGAGGAAATGACGCCAAGAGCACCGCCGCCGCCCTTCCTAGAGAACAAGAACGTGGTTTTCACTTGAAGAAACCATTGGGAGAATAGAGAAAAATGCAACAACGCCCCAGGAGGAAAGAGGCGCCCGCAAGCGTCACCGTTGCCAGCCCGAACACTAGGCTTTCACCCGTAGTTTCATACTCTCCCACGTCATTGAGTGCATGTCAGATTCAGCAATAACCACCAGCTAATCCCCTTCAACGCGTAGGTACCGCGCTGACGCCTCGCCGCTGGCCAGCCATCAAAGCAGGATCTCGACCTCCGGAGCGCTCCAAATCCATCTACGTGGGTGGGTTGGAGAGGGAGAGGGTGAGAGAGAAGAATGGATCTCCTCTCCGCCGCACAAGTCCATCCAACATGGCTATCTTGTTGCGGCAAGCCATCGTCGCAAAAGGATTGATGCCTGGAGAGGAGCTTGCCGCAGCCTTCAACACCCACCTTGCTCGTGTTCACAACGGGCCGCCTGGTCACCTCGCCGTCGCCTCCGTCCTCCCACCGCGTTAGCCTCACCGCCACACCGCCAAGTCGTGCCGTGCTCGGACCAAGGCAGGCTCACCACTGACACCAACCGCACCACCCTCGTGTTGCTGCCCGTGTCCACCGCGCGGGCCTCCCGTCCACCGACGACCACCAGCTCCTTCGTGCCAGCCTCCCATCCACCGGCGACCACTGGCTCTATCCCTGCTAGCCTGCCGTCCGCCGGCGGCCGTCAGTGACCGCCATCGCCCACGGCCTTCTCGTCGCTACCCACTGTAGTGACATTGCCATCCAGCCACCGACGCCGGCCTCCCGCTTCAAACACTGACATCGTCGCTTTCGTGCCACTTGCGGCAAGATCCGTCGCGAGGAGCACCGGATCCGGCCATGGGCCAGCCAGATCCGGGCGTCCTCCACCACCGCTGCCAAAGAGCTGTCACTGTCCACGCCGCCGTCGGCCATCTGTCGCCCGCGACCTCCTCGATGTCGTCCACTGTCCTCGTGGCCTCTCCTGACTCCTCACGGCAGCTAGATGGCTATCGGTGTGCCTTCGCCGGTTCCGGCCGGGTGGCCCGCAATCGACTACCTCCAACCATGGACGCCGGGATGCCCCCTCCGCAGCGCCGCTTGGGGAGGAAGAAGCCCCGCCGCCACCGTCCTTGCTGCCAGCCGGCTTTCCAACGGGCCACTCGTGACGCGACAGATACTCCACATTGAATATATATTACTAATATGTTTGTTTTGTGTTAAAAAATACTAATATATTTTTCTATAAATTTGGTAAAACTTGACTAGTAAAAAAGTTAAACGACTTATATAATATGAAATATAAAAGTAGGGAGTAGTAGACAGTGGACACAAAGAATTACTGGAGTTGGCGGCGGCGGTGGGCCGGTGGCGACGGCTGGGGACGATGACCGGTGTACTGTGGTGGTTCTCCGTTCTTGAGGATGACGGCACCAGGGCTTCTCCACCTCGCAGTCGATCTGAACGAGGACAGCGAGTGAATGACGTCTAGTACACACCACCGATCTCTACTGCAGCCTGCAGGGGTCAGGGGATGCCGGCGAGGGCGACGGCCGGAGGACGACGTCGATCCAGTGGTGTTGCGCGGGAGGGCGCCGGCCGGAGGACGTCGGGAAGGGCGGCGGAGGAGGTCGCCGAAGCTGCGGTCGTAGCTAGCGAGGTCGTCGGGGAGACGGGGAGGCCGGCAAGGCAGGCAAGCTCCCGGAGAAGCCGATTCGCCGTCGGCGGTTGCTCGGGGCCGCACCTTGAAGCGTGCGAGCAGCGCAGTGGCCCCTGCCCTGGGGTCGGGGGCCCTCGGACCGCCGCCGCCTTTTCCGGTGAGGTGAGCGGCGAGGCGCGCTTTTTCCCGCCCTTCCGCCCCCGCCGCGCCGTGCCGCGCCGGTGGTCGGTGTGATATGCCAGTACGCTTGGGCCGGACTTTTGAGATTTGCCAAGTTCGTGTCTCTTTTTGGGCCGCCTGCTCCTCTCCTCTAGCTTTGGAATAAGTTCATCGGAGGTTTAAGACTTAACAGCGAGATTTTTTTAAGATCCCTTAACCACAAAACCAGAAATGTGCTCATAAACTCACACAAACCAAGTACTCAAGGTCCTATGCAGTATATATGGGTGGTTTCGCTGACGTGGCATCCTAGTCAGTAAAAAAAAATAAAAAAAAGTGTGTGGGCCCACATGTCAGCCACCCTCTCCTCTTTTCTTCTCCTTCTCTTCTCTTTTCTCTCTTCTCTTCCTCTTCAGTGAGGGAGGCCGGCGGCCGGCGGGCGGAACGGCAATGGGCAGGCGGCAGGCCCGCGTGGCAGCAGAGCGGCGGAGGGTGGAGCGGTGATGGGCAGCGGTGGCCGAGCGCGGCAGTAGGCGGAGCGGCGATGGGCAACGGCGAGCGAGCGCAGTGCGTGAAGCGGCGCCGGGCTGCGGGCGGAGCGATGATAGGCGGCGGTGGGTGGAGCGGCGGTGGGCGGCGGCGGGCGAGAGGAAGAGTGTGACAACAGTGCAGCCGCCGTGCGCAATTTTTGATGTCGTCGATGTGGCGGCAGTCGGAGATGGTGGACTCTATGGCAAGCGAGCGCGGGGGGCAGAGCGGCGCCGGGTTGCGGGCGGGCGAGTGCGCTGGATGAGTTCGCCGTCGTGCCCCCCGCCGGTTCCTGCATTTGCCGCCACCCACACTGCCTGCCACTTCGTGGCGGTGGGCAGAGCAACCCCGTTCTCGTCTTACTCCTCCCCTTCGTCAGAAGCGAGCGGAAGGCGAAGCAGGTAGAGGGCAGCGGCAGAGCAGCGACGGGCAAGCATGACAGCGGGGTGGAGGTGGACGTGATCGCCTCAACCTACTACATGAGGGCGCGAGAGCGCGATGCTGGCGCGGAGGCGGACGCGTTGCGGGAGGAGCTGTGGAGCGTGAAGGCCGAGCTCGAGCTCGCCAAGACAAAGGCAGTGGCGGCGGCGGCGGCGGCAGGCGCGCTAGCGGAGAAGGCGCAGGAGGTGTACAAGCGCGGCAGGGAGGACGTGAGGTGTGTGATACGCCGTGCTCCACCGCTACCCGCACCTCGACCTGGCCAGGATTGTCGTCGCGCCGCCGGGCAATGACGTCGGCACCAGCACCAGTCGCCCTCCTCTCTCTCTCCCTCCTCCGGTCTCGCGTCCCGTCTCCGGTCTCGCTTTGCCTCTCTCGACTCCCTCGCCGCTCCGCCCACCGCGCTCGCCCACCTCCGCTTCGCCTGTAGCCCGGCGCCGCTCCGCCCGCTGCACTCGCTCGCCGCTGCTCTGCCCGCCAGCCGCCGGCCTCCCTCACTGAAGAAGAGAAGAGAGAAGAGAGAAGAGAAGGAGAAGAAAAGAGGAGAGGGTGGCTGACATGTGTGCCCCACGTACTTTTTTTTTTTTTTTTTTGCTGACTAGGATGCCACATCAACGAAACCACCCATATATATTGCCCTAGGACCTTGAATGCACGGTTTGTGTGAGTTTAGGGGTACATATTTCTGGTTTTGTGGTTAAGGGACCTTAAAAAATCTCACTGTTAAGTTGAGGGACCTCCGGTGAACTTATTCCTCTAGCTTTCCATCCATTCTTTTCTACTATTTTTTTCTTTTTGCAAAATACTCCATCCTTTTCAAAATATATGAAATTGTTAATATTTTTACAACATTTGACCATTCATCTTATTCAAAAAAAAGTTTAGTATAAATATGTAAAAGTATAAGTTAGGATTATATTTTATTTAATGATAAAACAAGTCAAAAAATAAATTATATATATATATATATATATTTCTAATAAAATAAATGGTTAAATGTTATGCGAAAAAGTAAATGACGTTATACATTTTAAAATAAAGAAAGTAGATAGAAAAGTGTTTTTTTTCGATACGCATACAAAATGAAGAGCATGCGCACTCCACCTGATATTTCTGCCTCGTTGCATTCCTAGGCGCAACTCAGAGCTCGATTTTAATGCACGATTTTAATCTGATAAATCGACCGCTATTGGGGCTCGATTTTAATCTTGTATTCTGATCAGGTCGGATTCTCAGAGCTGCGGGCGAAGAAATCTAATTTGGAAGGCCGTATTCGTATTTTTGAAGAGATAAAGGGAGTAAAATGAAAATATACGACGACCGCTAAGCCCTAGAAATACCCATCGCGCCGCAAGCGCCAAATTGAGCCCAAAGTTTGTGTCCCCTCCTCTCCCTTCTCCGCCAAGGCGCGGCGAGGAGGCCGCGGGAAGTCATCGTCGGCGCCGGCGAGGCCGGGCTCCCCTCGCCGGAGGCCACCGGCGACCCGCGACCTTCCCAATCCACTCGATCCTCTGCATCCGGGCACCGCCGCCGGCACCGCGCCGCTCCTCCATTTCTGGCCTCCCTAGGGCGAAGGATCACCGCCGCCGTAGAGTACGTGGATTTCTGTGCTTGGTTACCCTACTGCACCTCCTTCCTCTGCTCCGACGGCGACCCCAGGGTGTTCGTCAGTTTCGTCGTCGACATCGAGCCTCGGCTTCTTCGCAGATTATGCCTCTCCGGTTCACCCCCATGCCCTTCGCACTCACTCCTTTTACCTTTCATGCTCATGGATATTGTTGTTTACTACTTGTTAATCTACTAATATCTCATATCTGTGTGGACGTGAGTTGGTGAGTGTAACCTGTGAATTGTGATAATTGTGACATGTTAGTAGTAGTCCTTTACTTATGTAGATTGTGTATTTGTGCTCCTGCATTGTGGTGACATGTGTGGAGAAACTGGAGATTGTGTTGATTATCCATCTGGTATTGTTTTTAGGCAGAGACTGTTGGTTTGAATCCTGATTTTTTATTGAGATATTTGTGTTTGTCATCCCTGTCAGCTGGTCAGTTCATAGTGAATTGTTAGCCAGCTTCTTGTTCACTTAGTTATTATGGTGAAGTTTGATCACTGTTAATTAGGTGGTCCTCGTTTTGTTGTTAGTTAGGCTGGGTTTTAATCTTGTCTATTCATGCCATGAGTGTTTTGTTCACAGGGTTTGCTGTTCTCCATCTAGCCATTAGCTTCTTCTTTTTTTTTTTTTGGATTTAGATGATATTGGCAAACGATTACCTCAGCTAGCTATTTGTTCCATCCTCCAACACGAGAATGTCAATGCTGCCTCCATTGCCCCCAGTTCTGCCTAACTCTGGCTGGAATTGATGTCATCACCTTACTGTCCAACTGTGAATCTGCTGCATGGCCCTTGTCATTACAAAACTTCAAGTGCCTTTTTTCTTTCTTCATGTTTATGTATGTGTACTTTCTTGATCTTCCATTAGTCTGACAAGAGAACCCTGCTTATTATTTGTTTAGCTATATGTTTATTCTACTTGGTGGGATTGCAAGTTCTTGAATCTTTAAGTGGAGAAGTGTGTTCAATCAGAGATATTTTTTTGAGGAACATAGCATGTATGTAGTTTTTCTTGGACCAGAAACACCATTGCATCTTATCGCAGTGCATTGCTGAAAATGGAGTTATTTTCTAGGGTACTACCACCACTTGGCATTGCTATGGGGGACTCTTGGTCTGATACTGAAATCATCATGTTCTTGGCTGAGAGAAAAACATGGGATCCTCTTCCACAGAACATACTGGTGGGGGTTGACCTTACTATGATTGATCCACGGGACTCCCCTGGTTAGTGTAATCACATTTTTGTTCCTGTTGTTGTAGTCATTCTCGCATTCTGATTATGATATTTTTATGATTTATTTTTATAATTCACTTATTGATCTGGAGCTGGGTCTAATTGTCCTTTGAGCTGTTATTTTAGTTTAATTAACTTATTGTTTGGCAGTACAAAAATAACAACACACAAGTAATGGGTCGATAGTTCTATTCAGAACAGGTCACTGGTGCACAGAACTGATGATTTCTAATGATTACTTGCATAAAATGGTTTTCTGTGGAAGAGCTCTTATGGTATCTACAAGTTTTGTGTCGCCCAATTTTGTCAATTGATCAGAATATTTTGGTCAGTATTGGATTTTTCTACCAGATAGTACCAACAATCAGATTAAGGAGAAATCAATTCACTTCTATTTTTAGATCTTGGGGTGCCATTAACTTAGATCATGCTTGTGGAAGACTAGGCTCTTAGTTGCCTCAAACTTGCTGCCTCGGTATGATTTGACGAACAGGAAATACATAATAGATTGATCTTCCATTGATTTCTCTATTCAACATTTCGGTTATTTCTTTTCTTCAAATGGTTGGTTCACTATACTATTAGATATGTGTCTCCTGTCGATTGTTTCCCCTCCCAAAAGGCAAGTCTTCTTCATCGTTTATTGCAAGTTTCCTACCAGTAAAGAATATAGGGATATGACAAATACTTTAGAATACCGCTCAAAATGAACGGGAAGATTTAATCTACTCTACCAAATACTTGAGTATAGAAGGTACACTGTGGGTATTATCCTGGCACCTGAGCCTCTGGAGAAAGCAAAATGAATTTATCTATGCAAACATGTTGCTCATCATTGGGGATTGTTGCAGTCTAAAGCATACTGTTCAGAAATAATAGTGGGATGTTGTATGATATCCTTGGCATTTATTCATCAACTTGTATGTTGGCTTCTATCTTGTAGTCTTGTACACAAACTGCTCGCCCACTCTCATTGGGAGAGTGTGATTATCCTTGTCCATGGTTAAATAGTTCTGTTTTCTTATTGATATATTGCTCAGCTTGAACTTTTGAAATCTGCTATCCAGACAGATTAATTAATAAGTGCGAGTCCTAGTTGTTAAGGGTATATGTGTCAATTTATATATGTGTCAAGGATTAGGGTATTATGGTCTTTTCATGTATGAATGGTAAAATTGGTAATTCAGTTTGGTTGCTTGCACACTTCGACAACATCTTCATGCATGGACTTTGAATTTATCTTAGTGTTTACTTCCTCCGTTTCACAATGTAAGTCATTCTAGCATTTCCCACATTCATATTGATGTTAATGAATCTAGACATATATATGTCTAGATTATATATGTCTAGATTCATTAACATCAATATAAATGTGGGAAATGCTAGAATGACTTACATTATGAAATAGAGGGAGTACTTTCCAAATGCAAATGTTCTTGCATATATATTGCATTTGAGCGTCAATGTGTATATATGTACTAGTCAAGGGTTAAGGATATAATAATGCATCAATGTGTATATATTGCATTTATCTTTGGATTTATCTTCATGCATGCAAATGTTAAGGATATAATAATGCGTCAATGTGTATATATGTACTACTAGTCAAGGGTTAAGGTATCATGGTCTTTTCCCATGTTAGGAATACCTCTTTTACTCAATTTATGGGCCTAACTCTATGGATCAGGCGTTCCATCCTAACATGGGAAAAAACCATAATACTCTAACCCTTGACTACTACATATATATATACCACATCCTTAACACTACTTTCTAGTACTAATAGAATCACTAGACAGTGGTACTTATCTGTTTAATTTCTTCCATTAGTTGGAAACGACCTCCTAAACTGTAGTTCAATTTAACCAGATCATGGATAAGATAGAGCACTTGAATTTATTTACTGCGTTAAAATTTGCACCTAAGTTTTTGTGCTATATCCACATTATAGAGTATTGGTATTATTATGTTAGCCATTCTCACTATACAATTATGTGGACCTCAGATGAATAAAATATCTTGCATATATTTATTTACTAATTAGCACTGGTGGTCAATTTGTTAACATGCAGTTTAAGGATATGACTGCAAGTTTTGTGTGAGATGTACGTAATCATGCTTTTAGTCGGTTATAATGACTTGAGGCTTATAATCTTTGCTAAATGGGACAAGTAGTTTGCTTATGCAGTACTCATCTGCAGGAACCCTTTGGTTCTTGAATTGGCCTGATAACCAGCTATGCTATGATGACGAGAACAATGTTTTCAGAAAGGCAAAGAATGGATATTGGAAGTGCGTTGATGCTTGCAGAATACAGACAGGCACATCTATCTTGGGCGTGAAACTCTGTTTAGAGTTTCATGAAGGCCAAACACCATGCGGTACAAGAAGTGGGTTGATGATGTACGAATATTTGATAGAACAGAATGATGAACTGAATTTACCACAGGTTGGCAATACTTATTTTCCAAGCAATACAACTAGATTCTGTGCATAAATGTAAAGCTTTTCTCCAGGGTTGAAGGTTGATGCTCTGCATTTCTGACAGGCCTACAAGTCTCTATGTAGAATGTTCCTTCAGAAAGACAGAAAGATTGTTGAAGATGAACATATCTCCTTGAATTTAGGTGTTCATCATAATTTTCTGGGATCCTACTCTCAATATCTTGCAGAAATACAAAGGCAAAATATGGTAATGAATTCCCAGGTTTGCACATTTTCTTTCTTATAATAAAATCCCTTTGTTAGTTTATCCTCGAAACTTCTATGTCTATCATCCTCCGTTTCTCATTTCAATGTAAATTATGATTTAAAATCCATAATAGATGACATTTAAACTTGTCAAATAGTTCCTCTGGCTCTTGTTTTATTAATTTACCTCTTTAAATTGTGAAGCTTTTTGTTTCTTGAAGTCATTTAGAAACTATACCCAAGGAGAATATTACAGCTATGTGCTGCTTGTTCTTACTGATTGCTTTTACTGCTTATTATTCTTTCTCAACAATAAGATTTGACAATGTGAGCAGAATAGCAGATATGCAAGTTTTTTTTTTCTCTCAAAATAAAGATATGCAAGCTTTTTTTTTCCTTGTATTTTCAATAAATATTTTCAATCTGAATATGCTAGGCTGTGTCTTCAGACAAAAAAAGTATCTTCATCAGAGAATTGGATGAACGAAAAAGCAAGAAATGGTAAGTTTTGCAGTTCAGTACCTTGCATTGTTAACGTGTAGGATAACTTTGCATGGCTGTCCTAATGATTCTAATGTTAAGTTGGCAAGCTGTGAGGTTGCTCTCACTGCCCACCTGCATTACATTGTAACCTAGAATTGATCTCATTTCCTAATGTTTCTTTAAATAAACAAAATCCTGGCTCTAAACTAAGCTTGAAAACTGATTGTGAACTTACTTTTCGGTAAGGCACATGCACATCTTGGTTCTGTGTGCAGACATCAAACATGAGGTGTTTAATGCTATTGTTGTTTGTTGCTTGCTAGTTATCACTTCCCTCATTCATCCCTTCCAAATATCAGTTGAGATAATCCAATCAATACAATGTGGGTTGCAGAAATTTTAGTTCGATCTACTTATGAGTTTTTATGATGATGGTCACTATGTTGTTATTGACAGTAGTTTTTCAGTGGTGATTGGTGATTAGAAAGCACATGAAGTGGCAAGTTAGTTTGCGCTTATGCTAGAATATGGCCTTGGTAAAGAGTACATTCGGAGGCTGGTGGACTAATAATCTAGTAGAGCAGTCATCTGGAGTGTTTGAGGGGAAACCTCTTTCAACATGTGACCCTTGGATAGAACTTAACATGAGAGATTGCATTTTTAAGGAGCACATATATTAGGCGTCTTATTTGTTAATTATGTGGCCTAACCATGATAGCCGTCTTTACCTTTGGTCTCCTTAAGAAAGTACGGTTTACACTTTACACACACAGTGGACCAATAATTATATTGAACTCTCTAACATTGTTACTAATGGCCTACAAATAGGGCCATTTTATAAATACTGTTTCTTAAAAGAACAAAAATGATAAGTAGTTGCAAAACGGAAGTACAAAACCAACTTGAGCTAGTCATCAATACTAGAAGAATGTTATTAAATGTTAGCAATGTATGATGCTTTTTAAACATATATGGATATTAGACATATTGCTTTAGAAGATTCTTGTTTATGAGAGAATTAGCTACACATGTTCATGCTAATGCATGTTTCATTCCCGCCTGTAGTTCCACCAAGATAACCAGGTCAAGCACAAGGCTCTACCGACAAAAGATTCCTCATATTTGGTGTCTACGTCACAGTGTGTCTAGGAAATGGTTTCGTGTAAGTTAGACCTTTTACTTTTATATTATCACATATGCTATCTGCGATAAGCAATATTTTTGCTAACTTAAGTTTTGTACCTTGGAATTGATATGCACTAGGAATCAATGTTCAGAGTTATTGATAAGTTGGCAAAATTGCTTGAGTCAGTATTACTTGATTTGGCCACTGTGAGACAAAAAATAAACAAAGGTAAGTTACACGATAATCTTGGAGTTGTTAAGCTTAAGCGTATTATAACTTATTTCTTCCATCAATAGGTAAAAAACGAATTTGGAAGATGGAAGGCAAATTGGAAAAGGCTCAGATTCAACATCTGACAGACTTCAACAACAAATATGGTAAAAGCACGAGTGAATTGCATTGCCAGGATCAAGTAGGATCCTCTGAATCCTGACCCATTGATGTATAAAATCCCAGCGCAAATTAACAAATTTTATCTGAGAACTGAAAAAAAGTTTAGCAGAAAGCTTTATGCCAGTTACTTCCTGACTCCTCTATAGGGCAGAACATTGTAGATTTGTAGTTTCCTCACATGTTAGCGTGCAGGAGAATTTCGAACAAAGGGACATACTGAAGTAGTATTTTGTCCAAAATAATGTCGGCCAAAGGAGATTTTTCACCTTTTTGCAAATGTCAGGGTCTAACTTTGGTGTTGGAGTGAAAAATAGCTGCAGATTATGTTTAGTTTACTTTTTAGAACTCGTGTGTATAATAATATCATGTTTTTTCCTCTTTGCAGGACCATCTATTCGACAATCAGTTGAAACTGCTGAACATAATAACTGTGCTTTGAGGTATTGACACAAATATTTATTTCATACTGAATAATGTGAATGTAGTATTTCTTAGTTATTGAATCTATTAGCCATCCACTAGGCGATGCACATAGCCATCTATCTCTTTAGGACACCTGGGTTGAACATAAATTGTGGTCACCTTGGTCACCTTTAATTCTGGCCAAAATAACATAATGGATTAAGGCCATATTCATAACACTCGATGATTTTTTCATCATTTCACAATTTTACAAACCAAAGTAGCAATTCAATCTTAAAACATTCACATTTTGTTAGGTGATAGGAACTGTTGGCGAATATGTCATGTAGTAGGTTCATAATGGTGAAGGAGCTCCATCCTTAAGGTTATTGAGCAAACATATGCACATAGTTAATTCTACACTGTTGTATGCAGCAGTGGGCCATTTATAAATATACATGAGCATGCTTACCTTCTTGCCGTAAATGGATCCATACTAGACTGATTTACTGATATCTGAAATGAAAATAGATAGTGATCTGCAGTGACATTTAAAACTCCCTGCAAGACATTTTGAATTGTCTGCAAGTTTGGTTAAACACTAAACATCATACGATGGTACTGCATTTTCGAGAGACAAAGGTCTTGCTATGACCATATGGTAATTTCAAACCCTAATTTGACATCTCAGACCTTTATCTCGAAAAAAAATGGCTAGCAGCTCTAGCTAATTGAGTGGGCTCCCAAGCTGGTCCTAGGAGCTGGTAACCAGGCCATTGATCTTTTTTCCCAAATCTCACTTATGGCTAGCCATGATAAATTTTGTATAGTATTTCTGAAGATGCCATTATTAGCTGTGCTAACTGTACCTGATTTGCTAATCTCCAATCACATATCGAACATATTTTTGGTGATGCAACATTAGAAATTTTTGTGCCAAATTCGCTAGCTGATGAGCTTATTTATATGTCTCAACTGACTTTAGAGAAGTGTTTAAAGGATGAGAACTGATTGAGATTTGAGAAATGAATTCACCATTTTTGTTGAGTTGCATAATTTTTTGTATCCTATTTACCAGAATCATAAACCATTGAAAAGCTCATAGTTGTCCCTGGAGGTGGCAAGTGGCAACAGAAACTGCGGAAGAGTTCTGCTTTCCATGCCCATTGGGAGATGCAGACAGCATTAAGAAGGAAACAATTAGACATGTGGAAATTGTTACTGTTATTGTTCTTTTCCTGGGAATGTGGTTGGGAAAAGCTTGGGATAATCCAAATGCACTCTCAGTTGGCTGGTTGAAATCTTGCCGGACTAGTTTCTCAGCTTGATTAGGTTGCATTTCTGTTTTACAAACGAGCCCCAATATAGCATCATGCTCATTCTTGATTGTCAGAATTGTTTCTTGCATAGTTGGAATATGTCCTTTGTTCTCTGTTTTTTTTTTAACTGTGATGTTCTTTGTTCTCTTTAACTCCCTAGATAAATGGATATTTAAAATTTAAAATTTCCTATTCTATCAGGTGTCTTAATAATTATTTGGAGTTGATGATTGAGGAACCACGGTTTAGTTCAATTGCCTATGTTCGTCTGGATTCACAAGTCAAGAAACTCGATAAGGAGAACACGTCTGCGATGGATTTATCATCCAGTTTGCACCAGATGCTTCAGAAGTTAAATTTAAGAGTACAAGATGAAGAAGTCTGGGTGTCACAGTTAGGCTCAAATTTGCAGGCTTCATTCAGAAAAATCATGGATACCTCCTCAGAAATAGGAAAATTAGAAGATGAAGTTTTGCAGCTGAAGGTCGATATAGCTGAGTTTGCTCCAGGTGAAGTAACCAGTTGTGCAGTATATGAAATGATCAAGACACTTCAAATTGTTGAACTGTTCATGAATAATTCCACCAGACATTTGAAACTTATCGATGGAATTAATTCTGAAATGAGAGAGTTTGGAAGTATCTTTAATGGCAAAGTGAGATGCCTTGTTCGCTTTGCTAGATATCAACAAACTATTATGGAGAAGTCTACACAGGTTTGCTCTAACTTACTTTTTAAGTGTTATGACAAGTTCTGGATCACTTACTCATTTGACAGATAAATTTGTTCCAGATAATCAATTTCCTTGGTGACATCCGTGCTAAAGTTGACAAAATGACTCAAATGTATGGTCTATCTGAAGTTGTGCCCATTGTCTCAAACCAGTTTATAGAGGTGTGTTGCAAACTGACCAGCCTTCATTTAATCACTTTTGGAACTGTATCTTTGTTATGCATTCTATTGTTGATTCCAATCAAATCTGACATGGTGTACTGCATGTATTTCTAGGGGAGCTTCAATGCCGATGCATATGGTTAGTCTAGTGATATTGATAGCATTTGTTAATTCACATCTTGTTTCAGTTTTGATCAATCTCCTTTCTTATGCACAGCTTTTGAGAGTTTGAAAGAGCACAGCACTGATCTCTGTTTTAGTTGGAGAACAAGGAAGTTTCATAACAGATTAATTCTCCCTCCAGTGAGGCAACAAACTTCTGGTATGAAATAAATGACTTCTTGATGAAAACTTTATGTATGTCATAAGAATAAAATATGTCGTTATGATGCCATGAAAATAATTGAACGATCAGCAAAAATTGCACCTTTTCCTGTCGCAATCAGTTTTACCTAATAATTTACTTCCTAGACTGATATTTTACATACATGTTGATATTTTACTCTGCTGGCTCACCCTTTTTATGTCCTGCTTCTGATGGCCTCAAGTACTTCCCCTCACACCTCTTTCTAGTCATTTGATCATGGTTGATTTGTCTACTAGGGCCCACCTCGACACAGTTTATTTTTGTTCGGTTAGCGCCTTGTTCGAGTTACTGGTATTCTTGGTCTTTCTTCTTGATTGGAACTTATATGCAAGTATAGTAATTCTTGTCAGGTAAGAAAAGAAAAGAAAATAGTACTTGTAAATGGCTTCTATAAACTTCCCTTTTTGCATTAATGCATTTGCAGTTCTTTTGAAGGGGTTTATAGAAAAAGGTGGCATACATACAACTATACAGTCATACCTTGCTTGATTTTGTCTTTGAAACTGTTATATTGTAATGGACAGGGACGTGTTCATATTACGCGACACTATCATCAGTTGAGTCCTTGTATAAAAGAGAATATGCATCATACCCTACTATCTTAAAAGATAAGATTGGACAGCCTGATGAATTTCTGGTTAATCTGTCAAGAGCTCAGTTGGAAGATATAGTAGAAGATTTTTATACCAGGCATAAAGTCAAGGGTTCGAAAAGGTTGAATGTTTGTTTAGATAAGATGAAAAATGAAGGCGTTATTTCGGAAGAATCATATATGAACCCTCAGGCTCAGGTATTCACCACCAAATCAATTTTATTCTTTTCATTGTATTGTATTTATAAAGTTCTCATGTTGCAATTACTGTTAGTTTGTGCAGTCCACAGAAAGATACAAAATCAAACAATACGAAGAGCTCAATCTTGAGATTGCGATGAGGGAACGTGATAAGGAAGAAGTAAGCATTGTTGACAAGAAGTGTATAGGAAAGAAGAAAAAAAGGAGGTTCAGAAAAAAGATGAGAATGAAGGAGCACATATTTCTGACGAAGATAAAGAAAGTTATTGAGAGCCATATAATGGATGGAAAGGTGCTCATTGCTAGTTTCCGGGTAACAACTGGTTACTTCAGGTTGCTACCTCATCAAATCTACAAAATTCCAGAAGAAGATCCCCAATATGAATTGAATAAAAAAGGTAATCCCTGTTCTCATTGTGTCGTTGTTGTTGGTTTTGGGATTCGGGACGGTGAATGTTATCTGATCTATCTAAATTCATATGGGACTTCCTGGGGACATGACGGATTCGGTAGAATATACCTTGATAGTGTCAGGAAGCTTTTTTTAGCTCAGGTCTAAACTTTGCGTGTAAAACAGTGAAATTGTAAACTGAAATGTTATTGAATAATATTTCTTGATTTGGTTATCTATATTTCTTTCCTATGCATTGATTAATGTGAGATATTTGAGCTTTTTTTTGTGAAAAAGTTACTTTTATTGCAAGGATAAATCTGTCCTAATGTCAAACATGAGGTATCTGTCCTTCTGACCGATGCACGTACTACTGCTCTGTTGTCTGTGGCGCCTTCCGAGCTTCAACTGCATTGTGAGGGATTTGCGTGCTGTTGTGGTCAAGGAGCGCATGCAAGTGCTTGTGCTTGTGCTTGATGGCGTTTGAATCTCATTTGCCTGTTACTGTCTAAATCAAGTTTTTCTGAGTTTTGATTTTCTCAATAAACATGGTAATCCTCTATCCAATATTCTAAAATAGCCCAAATTGTAAAAGTACGTGTTACTCCTATATAAATTTTATTCAACGTGGCTAAATAACATTAGGTTGAATATACCTGGCAGTATCTAATCCATATCCTTATGAAACATTCACAGCATGTAGAAAGGAATACTGATAACAAGGTATGTATTATGAAACATTCACAGCATGTAGATCAAAATGCTCACGGGGTGCTTGACTCAACGACTCTGTGGTCGTATCTCAGAAAAGTCTTGCGCTGTCATCGGCAACAACTGACTAGTCTTTTTTTATCCAATGCGGAATTGAATAAACGCTAAATAAACTCCAACTAATATATGCTCATAAATGCATGGAATTCAATTAGTGTACATATCTTGATTTTATATTATTTGAGTATAAAGATCTTGATCTTTGTTAGTGAGCATATCCAAACGGGAAAAAAAAGAGATCAGAAAAGCAGCAAGGCAGTGAGAAAGATGTCAATCAAAGCTTGATGGCGTCCACATCAGAGAATACCAACCATATACTCCGTCAAAAAATGGATGGAGGGAGTATGTTTCTAATATGGCATGGTACAGGAGGATTACTATTCATACATCTTCAGTTCCCTAGTCCCCAAGCTCTGTTCGCAAGAACAGGTTCCCAGCCCAAATAGTACGCATGAAAACGGAGCGGTCCATTAGCACGTGATTAATTAATTATTTATTATTTTTTTCAAAAATGGACCAATATAATTTTTTTAAGCAACTTTCGTATAGAAACTTTTTAAAAAAACACACCGTTTAGCAGTTTGAAAAGCGTAAGCGTGGAAAAACGAGTATAGGGAGTTGGTAACCAGCTCTTGCAAACAGAGCAGCCAGGCCACCGAAGTTCAGGCATGTTTGGTTTGTTTCCCAACCTAACCATTTCGCTACGCCGAAAAATCATCGCCCATTTAGTTCGTAAAAAGAATGGCATTGCAAAACAAGTAAAAGGCTAATCAAATTTTGTCAGCATTACAAAAATTATCACTCATTTGGTTTGGAAAAAGAATGGCATTGCAAAACGAGTTAAAAGGCTAATCAATCTTGTGAAAAATTACAAAATGTTGATATGGCTAGCATTGGCATAGAACCAAACAGAATAAGAGTAACTGAGCAAGTGAAACAAAGAATATATTTTGATTCATGAGTCTCACTCCCACAGTTCAAATAAATCAAAATTTCAGAAATCACTGATGGGAAAAGCTAGCTTCGTGAAGTCCAATGCCCAGTTCACACTGGACCAACTTTGAAGTTTGAACGAGTGAATAGAGATATTTGCTACAGCTATATATATAACTTCTCCAGTGTATTTGGGCTGTGTACACCTTTCTAAGGTGTAGAGGCCGGGTTAATATAATATATTATCTAAAAATAATTTCCCCAGTGTATATTCTTGATTGAAGTTATTAAAGACATTGACTACATAATGGTATAATTTAAAATCTAGTGCGTACAAATTTCTCAAGCAAACATTCTTCTTGTATTACATATTATCAATAGATAAATCCTACTGATAACACTGGCAGCTTTTCAAGATTACAAGAATACATTTACTAATATGGCCATCAGTGGTCAGCACAGCAGCAATGTAAGCTTTCATCCCCGAACAAGAACTTGTCGGTGCTTGGGTGTACAAGGTAAATCTCATAACTCATGCATCGCACACAACACCCTGTAAAAAAAATAAATATAAAGGATCAGTTTATCTCCTTCAGAGAATATCACTACTAGAAGGAATGAAAAATCATTACAAGATTTGTTGGAAAACTATTATTGGAAATATTTGGACAGAATAGATAGTAGTGCAGTAGCGTAGACTTGGTATCAGAAACAATTTGCAAACAATCGGCAGTCAAATATGCTAGTAGCACATATTCACTCACTAGTTTTCCTAAAACAGAACAGTTGCTTGTAATATATAAAATCAGGTAAAACTGTGGTCTTCTGGAGAGTGCTACACAAGTAAATAAAAAAATGCAGCAATGAATTAAAAATAATAAGCAATCCCATACACCGTTAAGTTGTGAAGTCCTCTTATGTTTTTGCTCGATTATTGTGTATCCAAAAGGATAGGCAAAGTGATTTAACCAAATGCTAATTTTACAGTAATAATCACCCCACTGACATCATGTGAAATGAAATTGTGTCCCATGTCAAATGAGATAAGAAAATGGTCATTACTTTATAAATGTCTAAGCGAAATGCCACAAAAGTAAACAGAATAAATCATTGCCATACCTATTTCGCCTGTTTCGATTGAACACCACGAGTGAACTTGGTCCTCACATTTAACATCGTCGCTCGTCTCGGCGAAGAAGAACCCAAATCCACTGCTTGGGGAGTACGCAGTGAAGTTGTAGTGGCAATAGGATAGTTCCATCTCAACGATCGTGCTCTTTGCAGAGATCTCCCAGAGCTCGTAGTTTCTGCCCGGATGCTTCCTGTTGATGATGTTCAAGGCCATTTGCACATTCTTGGTGTGCCTCTTCTCAGCCAGAACTTGCCAGTCAAACATATCATCCATAGCCTCCTTCTGCAGCTGCTCTTTACGCGGTGCCTTCCCGGCGGCATATTTCTCCCGCCAGCGTGTTCGTACTTGCTCTATGCGCTGCTGGCGTTGCAGCGCCTCGTTCTTGCGCTGCTTCGCCTCTCGGTGGCGGCGACGAGCCTCGTCCTTGGCGTGCTCGTCCCACAGGGGCTTGCTGTACCCCCAGTCAGAAGGGATTTCGCCTTCCGGGAAGGTGAGCTCGTAGGCGAAGCGCCAGCCGTGCGCGTTGGTGTCGTAGCCTTTGTTCCCTTCCTTCTCCCACTTGGCTTGGTGCTCGAGGAAGAACTTGCTCTTGCCTTGGCACTCCTTGACTGCGCCTCTTGTGCTTGCACGGGCATGGATCCTGGCAATCACCACAACAACACAACTTGTTAGCACTAGTTGAACCAAAAAAACCTTTTTTTTTGTGAGGTATAATTAGCATTGTTACGCATTAATCCTAGCTCTTAGATTTGACTAGGCCTTGAGCATGGGGAATTGAGACAGCGTGTGTACACTACCTGCAATCTTGTCATGAACTAATTCTAATCCCAATACATATAAGCATAACAACAAGTAATATAATGCCCCTAAAAAGTGGCATATAGGATTCGGTGATGAGGTGGAGGAGATAAATGATAAGCTACCCCTAAATTAAGAAACAACCTCCACACAAACACTAAGAAGAGTCTGAGAGTGTTAAAGGTATTGATATTTGTGTATTAGGGATGACATATTATATATGTTGACTCTTAATTTATAAGTGAACGGCATGGATAAATTGAAGGTAGCAGTCACATCTATTATAGCACTTGCTCTAATGCATCCAAACCGGGATTCGATGGCAGCCCGACAGCCCGACACCTCTAATTTTCCATCTAATCAAATACTTAACTCCCATAGGCGCATAGGCATCAGAGCAGGAGCTTCCAAAATTGCGGAGATTATCCTCCATGGAGAGTAGTCCTATTTTTGAGTCTCTTCGGTAGATAGGCCAGTATATATTTTTCAGTAAAGTTTTTACTTCTTCTCTATGAATATAATGTGGCAAAGCTTTCGCCTTTCTTAAAAAAAAACAAAACAAAACAAAAGGCGCATAGGCAGAATTAGGCATACATCAGAGATTGAGATTCAGAGTATGGCATTCATAGCTTATTAGGTCATGTATCCATCTGGCCAAGAATTTGGTACTGACCAATTGAGCCAAAAATTTTAAAAATTTAATGCGCTCCACCTCCGCTGCTTAGCTTGCAAATCTACTACTACTTAAAAAATAAGAGGTGCTTCCATCGTCCGTAAAAAAAACCGGGTGAAAAAAAACCGGGCGAAAAAAACCAGTTTGTCCGATCAAAAAAAAACCGGTAAAAAAACCGGGTGAAAAAAAACCGGGCGAAAAAAACCAGTTTGTCCGATCAAAAAAAAACCGGTAAAAAAACCGGGTGAAAAAAAACCGGGCGAAAAAAACCAGTTTGTCCGATCCAAAAAAAACCGGTAAAGAAATTTCCGTTTTTAATTATAAAAAAATTACCCACAAAAATAGTTTCTGTCCGATTCCAAATAAAAAAAATTCCGAGCGACAAAAGAGTTTCCATCTTCCTACAAAAGGAAAGAATAGTGCGAAAAAAAAAGTTTCTATCCGAAGGGAAACACGCGTGAATAAATACCTAATTAAAAATAAATATCTATCTCTAAAAAACCTTCTGTCGTAAAAAAAGGAAAAAAAGGACCGACTCCCGTAGAGAAAAAAAAAGTCCGACTCGTGAAAAAGAGGTTTTCTCGTCCGTAATAAAAAAAAAGAAAAAAAACATCTAACTCAAACTCCGTAAAAAGAAAAGGAGGAAAAAACGACCCGACCAAACTTAAAGTCGCCCCTTGTTATCCGTATATATCTCTTTAACTCTAATCTAATCTATCAATCTAATCTAACTTTTTAGAAAGAGAAGTTTCCATCATCCGTTAAAAAGGAAAAAAATGCGCAAGAAAAAAATAATTTCCAAAAAAATGCGCGGGAAAAATACGGTTTCCTTCGTCTGAAAAAAACAAAAAAAATGCTATTAAAAACTATCAGAAAGAAATACACCATTTCTAAAAAAAATGGTTTCAAAAAACCACACAAGAAAAAAAAAACTGTTTATAAAAAAAAGCCGCTCTAAAAAAACTAACCGATGAAACACTGTTTATAAAATAACAGATCCAAAAAAAACAAACGGACTCAACACGCGAAAAAAACCGATGTTTCAAAATAAGGTTCGAGAAAACCGTCCGACTTAATGCGAGAAAAAAACCATCATTTCGAAAAAAAAATAGAGGAAACCATCCAACTCAATGCGAGAAAAAAACCGCCGTTTATAAAAAGAACCGCTCCGAGAAACCATCCGACTCAAAGCGAGATAAAATTGATGGACGCTTGGGTCGGATAAGATCCATCGATATTTTTTCATCTCCTACACATCATTTCCTACACATCATTTGTTTCCTCATCTAATCCCTGCACTTTTTGTATGCAATTATCATTATCAGACTTTTTTTAATAACATATTATATGAAAATAGTATTAAAAATAAACATATTTTTAATTGTTATTTAGAGAAGAGTGCACGGTGACTATTTTGTGTAGACTTGATCCTGAGTGTAGGATTTGATTAACCTATTATTGGTTGCAAGAATAATATTGAAAGAATATTTTTTTATTATATGTATATTGTTATATGAATAATCCAATTATTTTAGTTAAAGCAAGCATTGGTAAAAAGATTGCCATCATCGAGTTTGGGTCATTACATAAAGATGCTCTAATTTTCTAATTGTGTTAGCTACAACGATCCATAGAAACATTATCATTGATATGGGTACGCTTGAAAAATGTCTATTGTCATTGGATTATTTTTTTTACCCGTTGCAACGCACGGGTATTTTTGCTAGTAATAAATAAATAAAAGGAGAAAGCAAACGAGGGCGGGGGGGCTTACCGTGGATTGGGCGCGGCGGACGGCGACGCCATCGCTCGGCGTGTGCTTTTCGCGGAGCTGCGTGCGTGCGTGGTCCGGACTCCGGCGGCGGCGCGCGAGGGTTTTAATGGGTGGCCGACCGACGGCGAGCCGGAGCCGGAGTTGGAGTCGGAGAAGGGTTCGGGGCGGAGTACGAAACGGACTAGAATGCTGCCTGCACAATCGGTGCGGCCTATATAGCCCATCACATCTTATCATCTATTTCTAGCCGGCCCATAAATTTTTTTTTTATTGAACCGTGTGTTGTGCCTAAAATTGCATTCATTAATCTTAGATGATCGCCCACTTCTAAAATTCAGTTTTCTTTAGGACAAATAGATATAGTTTCTAAATATTTGTGGAAACAAACGAGGGACTTGCCTATTGAACAGTTGACAGATTTTTGTAGATTGAAATCTTGCAGATTTTGCAGTCACTGGATGTAGCATCCACGTTGTTTGTTAACGGGCCCGCAACACACTAATGTTGATAAGTCGACCCGTTAAGACGAATTTGGGGCTACAAATCACTTTAGCCTAGCCCATTAGCTGCTAAGCAACCCGTTTGGATCAAATAACAAAGCAAAAAGTCCACTTTGACTCCCTTAAAAAAGTAGGCCGAATCTAATTCGTATCCCTCAACCCAAAAACCGGATATGACGACTCCCTGAACTATTGATGCCAGTGCAATTTGACTCCTCCAACGATTTTGGAGGGCGGTTTTGCTAATGTGGCACTGTTGACCCGGTCTTCATCTCACGTGGCGTTTATGTGGCATTAGAATTAAAAAAATATATGTGAGACCCATTTGTCATTCACACACAAAAATATATTGTGGGGCCCACATGTCATCCTTTCTCCTTCCCTTCTTCCTCCTCCCTCTCTCTCACTTCTCTCTCTTTTCTCTCCCCCTTTTCTCTTCCCCTTCCGACGCACGTAAGGAGTGGGAGCTGGACTGGCGACGGCGACGTGCGGGCAAGGGCTGGAGCGGAGACGGGCGGGCAGGGCCAGAGCGATAGCGGCGACAGGCACTGGAGCCGCTTCGACGTCTGGGCATGCCACGCCACCTCTCGTCTCCAAGCCGGCCCGCCACTGCACCCCCTCTAGGCCGGGCCGGCGCTCGCTTCGCCGCCGCTCTGCTTGAGGCCGGGCCTGCAACGGCCGACGACGAAAGAGGAGAGGAAGGGGAAGAGAAAGAAAGAGAGAAGGAATGGAGCAGGCGGTAAGGGCAAGGAGAAGGACTAGGGAGGTGGAGGCAGGTGCAGGGCCAAGGAGCGGGAGCGGCGGCAACGGTGGGTAGGGGGAGGCGCAGCGGCAGTGCTCACTCGACGCTCCTAGAATCGATTGGGTTGTCACTATTTGGGCTAAGCCACGCCGCTCTCCCCGCACTTGAGGCCGTTGTCGCTCCGGCCCTCGCCCGCTCGCCTCCGCCGCCACTCCAGCACCTGTTGTCTTGCCTGCCGCCGCCATGGCTGAGGGGGAAATGAAAAGAGAGAGAGAGAGAGATAAGGGAGAGAGGAAGGAGGAAGAAGAGTTAGCGTGAGAGGATGACATGTGGGCCTTATAATATACTCCCTCCGTTTCGAAATGTTTGACGCCGTTGACTTTTTAGCATATGTTTGACCGCTCGTCTTATTCAAAAAATTTAAGTAATTATTAATTCTTTTCCTATCATTTGATTCATTGTTAAATATATTTTTATGTAGGCATATAATTTTACATATTTCATAAAAATTTTTGAATAAGACGAACGGTCAAACATGTGCTAAAAAGTCAACGGTGTCAAACATTTTGAAATGGAGGGAGTATATTTTTTGTGTAAATGATGGATGGGTCCCAAATATTTTTAATTTTAATGCCACCTAAGCGCCACGTGGGATGAAGACCCGGTCAACACCGCCACGTCAGGCCACATCAACAAAACCGCCATCCAAAACCACTGGAGGAGACAAATTGCACCGGTTTCAATAGTTCGGGGAGTCGTTCGGGACCACCTATACATTTGTCGATAAATTTTCTCGTAAAAATTTGACAGATGTAATTATAGTACAATCATAGTGTAGTTACACTGTAACTTATATGTTATTACACTGTAACTTACATGATACTACAGTGTAACTTATATATAACTACAGTGTAACTTGTATGTAAATCTCACATAATTTTGAATCGTTAGATCTATTCCAAGATTAGTTTTGGTGACGAAGAAAAAAATCACAGCACACACATGTGATAGAATTTGTTCCCACGACCTCCATTTTACCGAAATAACATATTACGGAGAGATTTTTGAAAGTTATATATAAGTTATATTATAGTTACAGTGTAATTACATGCAAGTTACAGTATAATTATACTATGATTGTACTGTAATTACATCTGTTAAATTTTTGGGAGAAAATTTGTCGATAAATATATAGCAAAATTGAAGGAGAAGATTCCACGTGCAACATATCGTACGAGTACGACACACCCATCTTTATCACACAGCATACTTTCAGATTAATTTCATCCCACAACACACATCTTAATTACCTCTGGAACGCAGTTTGCTTCCAGATCAACGAATTTTCGATGAGAATTTCTCATGTATCACAGCACTCTATCCTGATCCAAAATATAGTGAAATATGTATACCTCACAAATCTGAACCCATTTCTTAGTGACTGTCAGCCACCGAATACGAAATCTCTCAAACACAAATTAACAACAAAAAACCAACATGTCAAAAACAACACAAAACCACCACTAACATGTTTCTGCTAATATCGCCGCATGCCAAAATAACAAATGCAGCATTGAGTATAAATCGTAGACTTCATCTGCGTGTAAACGTTATCTTCTGATAATGCACAAAAAAAATGTAGCACCGAATAAAAACCTGCAGGTATTCACTATTCAGCGGTTTCAGTCAGAAATAACCAAAATTACAGTTTCGAATTTCGATCACACAAGAATGGATCGCCGCTTAATAACCACTACATCTGGTGCAGTATTCACAGCTCACACGCACACCAAAGCATTACATCAAGACAGTAAAAACAGATATCTATAAGAAACATACGTGCAAACTGTCCTTCCAGTTCAGACAAAAAAATAACAGAGAGAAGATGATACGAGAAATTACAGAATGCAGACTCCTACAATCCTACAGCTCTATCAGGCTCAGAGCAGCTCTACTATAACTAGTAAGATTTGCCAGTAAGTTTCTGGTCACTAGAGGATCAAGAACACAGTTGAGGAGCGATCTGATCCGTTGATGTGGCAAAACTGACGGTGAGGATGGACTAAGGGGACCGACTGAACTGATCAGTGGGAATGGTCGAAGCTGAACTCCTTGTGCACACCGCACTTGCAGGTCACGCGCACCACCAGCTCGCCGCCGGTGCAGGCCGCCGCCGCCGCCGGCGAGCTCGGCCTGGGTGCCTCTCTCTCCGCGCTCGACACCTCAACCTCTCGCTCCTGAAAGGTACAAAATGTTCAGGTTTCAGAATGACAGATTGCCGAATGACAATGACATGAAAAGAAGATGAATACAACAGCAATCGCCAGTAACAGAGGAGTCCAGGCAATTGCAGAGATGTGATTCATACGCCGAATTTGAAATTTGGGATTGATTTGAAAACGAATTTTGCTAACATTTGGGAGTAAACAATGCAGACATTTTTGACAGGTCAAAATGTGCAAGCAGGGCATGTGAATTTGTTCTTGCTTCTGTTCGATTTCAGATTATGCGAAGGAAGAAATGGGAGGCTTTACCGGCGTGATCGTCTTCTCCGGCGATGTAGCCCCGGAGCGAGATGCCTCACTGGAGGAATTCTTGGATTCCTGCTGCGATCAAATCGGAGCAATGAGATGCGCAAGAAATGGCGACGAGCAGACAGAAATCAAGAAGAGGAAGGAGGAAGCAATGGAGGAGGAGTACCTGCTTGGCCGCCTTGGCCGGCGAAGCGAAGAACGCGCAGCACGGCGTGCCCGCCGACCCGGACAGGATGGAGGAGCGGGAGGCCTCGCCGGCGGCCGTCTTGGCGGCCTTCCGCGGCCGCGGGGTGGCCGGCTGCTGCTCGTCCCGCGGTCGCGGGGTACCGCGGCGCGGGGTCGCGACGCGGAGGTTTCGCCGCGATCTTCTGTTGCTGCTGCTTCGGCCGCCGGACTTGTGCGCTGGCCAGGCCGTGAAGACGAACGGCGGCGAGGGGGAGGTGCCGCCTGTGGGAGACGACTGATTGGCCGCCGCGAGCCCCGGAGAAGCCGCGGTTCCGAACGCCGGCCCAGGCGAAGGGAAGAAGGAGAAGCCGCCGCTGCCGGTGGAGTCCGTGCTCGCCGGCGTCGGGGAAGGCAAGGGCGCGATGGCGCTGCCGCCGTGCAACTCCTTCGGCGACAAGGAACCGCAGCCTCCGCTGGCATTGGAGCCTGTCGGCGTCAGCGGTTGCTCCGGTGCACCCAAGAACGTGAAACCGCCATTGGCCGTGGGGCCTGTGGTCGCCGCCGCTTGCTTCGGCGAGGCGAAGAACGAGAAGGCCCCGGGGGGCGCCGTGGGCTCCTTCGGCGAGGCCACGAACGCGAACCCGCCGCTCGCGGTGGAGCCCGTGGGCGTCTCCGGCGCGGCCGGAGACACCAAGAACGACAAGGCGCTGCTGCCGCTGGACCCCGTCGGCGTCGTCGGCGCCCTCGGCGCGTCCTCCAAGAACGCGAACATGTTCCCACCCCCGCCGCCGCCGCCGCCGCCCCCTGTCCCGCCCACCGCCAACGGGAAGGAGAAGTCGCTGTCGGGGCAAGAACCCCGCGTCCCCGCGCGCGAGGAAAGCAGAGGCGGAGCGGTGGCCGGGGAGGGCGTCGGGGTCGGGGAGCCGAAGGGGTGGAGCTCGAGCAGCACCTTCTTGCGCGGGGACGAGGGCGGGAGGAGGCACCGCCGCTTCTTGCCGGCGTCGCAGGGCGCGGAGAAGGCGACCGCGGAGTGCGCGCGCTCGATGCGGAGCTCGGCGAGGTGGTGGCGCGGCGTCGTCGGCGTCGTCGCCGGCGAGCCGAAGGAGGGGAGCAGGTGGGGGAGCGGCGCCGCCTCCGTCGCCATGGCCGTGGCGTGGCGCGCGCGTGCAGCGCACGAGTTCTTGGATTCTTGGGTTGAGCTGGGTGGTGGTGGTGGTGGGTCCCAGAGGCGGTTGGTTAGTTAGTTACAGGGATGGTGAGGTTTATAGGGGAAAATATGCAGTGCAATAATGAAAACTTAGAAACTACCGTTGAATCGAGAAATGGATGTCCGAGATTCGTCCACTTCACCATGAGTTAAAAATTAACTCCTAGTAAAATTTTAACTCATGAGTGAATCTGCGAGTTAAATTTTAACTTATGGTGAATCCAACGGTAGTTTCTAAGTTTTCAGGTTTGCACTACATATTTTCCCGGTTTACAGAGGGGAGGAGGCGTGGGTTTTCTGTAAGATTCGTGCCAGCAAAACGATCGCTGGGGATGAAGCCAATTGGTACCCTGATGAAGCTGAAGGAGCGAAGGCACATCTGGCAGGTTGATGATGAAGGGGACAAGTCTTGATCGCCGTGCGTTTTTATGGTACGAGGGTAAAAAACGATGGATTTGTTCGAAAGAAGTCGAAAATGTTAATAGGCGATCCATCCGCACTATCTTGATTGGTCAATCCATTTAAATTCTGCTACACAGGTTTTGACGATTCTTTTTTGTTCGAATTATTTCATAGGCTTACTGTCATCTAGTTTACCTTATTTTCGCAGGTTGAGCATATTTGTTTTGCACAGGTTGAATTAGACATTTCTTTTCTTTAGCATGACAGTTTTATATCAACCCACGAGTATGTTTTTTGCCCTGCTTTTTTCAATTGTTTTTAAATTTGTTTGAAGTTAATATGTACAAAATCCATATCGCATATGTAATATATATATATATATGTGTGTAAAGTTTATATATGTATGATTTTTTATTAGGCTATTATACAAGTATTTTATAGCGTGTTCACAAGATTTAGTTCAAGTCGTGCAAACATCCTTTAAAATCCGGAGATGGATTCTAATAGCTCGAGTGAACGTTCATTCGCTTATTGCATATCAACTAGATGATTACGAATTTTTTTTTAAAAAATGACAAGATAGATTAATATGTAATATATCACTCTATAAACATGCCAGTTCAAATTCAACTTCTATAAGTTGTAACAAAAATAATAAATTTAATTGTAAATATACATATAGTAATTTGAGTTTTGTTTGTTTAAAAAAATAGAAAATGCTTTTGCTATGTCCGTGGCCAACTAACGAAAACCCTCAATTAATGGCCTAGTTAATCAATTTATTTATAAAATGATCAACAAGTGTTTAAGATGTCCATTGAAGATCAATTGTAGTTCTACCTGCGAAAAAAAAGTGGAGAGCATATGTTTGTCGCCATTTGTGATGACAAAAAAAAAATGGAGGTTATTTTGCTGAAACGTTTTAGCAGCAACCATGTTAGGATTGCCTGGAATGGCTACAACAATCGAACAATCGTCTTCGTGTGGACTGCGGAGAAGTAAAGTACTGTATAACGAGGGGACACGCAAGTCGTTGTAGTATAGTGGTGAGTATTCCCGCCTGTCACGCGGGTGACCCGGGTTCGATCCCCGGCAACGGCGTTCATTTTTTTTTGCTTGCGGTTTTGCATTCCCACTGTAGTGCATCTGCAGCATATGCATCCAACTCCATTACTCCAAGCCGAAAAAACTAATTCGCGCAGACGCGTTAGTTGGCTATCTCGCGCGCGTTGCCCACTTGCGACTTTTAGGCTTTTTTTTTTTTACGATTTTTTCCATATGCGCATGATTTTCTCTTTTCCCAACATCTTTTTGGTGATTTTTTGGTGAACTTTTGTAATCTAGGCACGTGATTCAACTCAAATTTGGAGTCAAAAGTTTTTAAAATTGTAGTTAGAAGTTTTAAATTTTTAGTTTGAATGTTTTTTAAATGTAAGAGAAATGTTTTGAATTTTGATATGAAAGTTTTCAAATTCGAGCTGAAAGTTTCAAATCCTGAGTTGAAAGATTTTAAATCTTGACTTAAAAATTTTCAAATCTGATTTGAAAGTTTTCAAATCTCGATTTGAACATTTTCAAATCTCGAGTTGAAAAGTTTTTAAATCTAAGTTGAAAGTGTTCAAATCTCGAGTTGAAAGTTTTCAAATCTGGGTTCAAAGTTTTCAAAGTTGAGTTGAAAGTTTTTCAAATTTGAGATGGAAAGTTGAAAGTTTTCAAAATTTGACTTAAAAAATTCAAATTTTGAGTTAAAATTTTCAAATCTGGATTTAAAATTTGAAAATTAGACTTCAGATATTGATTTCTTTTCAATTTGTTAGGTAAAAAAATCTCGTGGAAAAAAGAAAAATCCTAATTACTAATGTCATTATGTCATACTGTAATTATCTAAAACTAATTGATTAGTTAACTAACTTTTAGTCCCAGAAAACGTGCGCCGGAGCCACGCACGCGCCAACTAGAGTTTTAGGTTTATACACGGGTATTAATATTTAAGAAAGTAAGTAGAATGAAATGGAAGAAAGTTGTGATTGGTTGGGAAAAAAAAAGTTGATGGAGAATTTGAAAGGTGGAAGATTGTGATTGGTTGAGAAGAGAATATATGTGAAGAAGTTATTATATTCTAGGACAAATTTTAAACGCTAGAAGTTGTTATATTTTGAGACGGAAGGAGTATTACGTAGGGTTGTTACTAGCATTGGGACAGTCATTTGAAGGTAATCAAGAAAGCGGGGCGGCAGGCCTCACTCTCCCATCGAGCACCCCAATTCATCTACCCACCTAACATCTACACTTACCTACCCTGAACCTAAGATACAACGAATACGAACTACGAGATTATAATACTTGTCCCTGAAGAATATCACCACTAAAAATGATCATAATTGAAACATGATGCTCTCAAGTGAAAGAACAGAAGAGGAAACAAGCTAGGACCAATTGGTGTTCTTAGCTAACTTGTTCCTCTGCATAATGGATAACATACTTAAATCTGAATCAGTTTGTGCACTCTACATAACCCAAGTGGAGGACAGATTATCCAATCACGAATACAATAATCACCCAAAAAAATTGTGAAACCAATCAACTAACCGAAATTTGTTTGAAACAAAAATCAATCATCCCAAATTAGTTCCTAACTAGCTAGGAGAGAACCAGAACAATCAGAGATTCAGAAAGCAGTGACGGTTCACATGAAATTAGGAGCAAAAGAACTGAATCATCCGACTGTTCTTGATGCAACGACGACGCTACTCGCCTTCACATTCACACGGCGGCCTGATTCATCTTCTTCTTCTTCACCTCGAGGAACTCCGCGAGGCCGGCGAGCGCGGCGCCGGCGTCCTCGCTGCGCAGCAGCATCTCGGACACCTCCGCCGGCGTCACCTCGGCCTGGGAGATGAGCCGCCGGATCTCCGGGAACAGCGGGTGGTCGTCGACGAGGAAGTAGTTGCGGGCGAGCGTCGTGAAGGCGTCCCAGCCGCAGTGGCCCATGTAGACGTGCTTGTCCATCCGCCCCGGCCGGAGCAGCGCCGGGTCGAGGCGCTCCCTGTAGTTGGTGGTGAAGACGATGACCCTCTCCTCGCCGCTCGTCGACCACAGCCCGTCGATGAAGTTGAGCAGCCCGGACAGCGTCAGCTTCTCCTTCTCCTGGACTCACAAACAACAAACGTCGTTGCCTCATTGGCATGGGAAACACTATTCATCCCTCAAGTGGATATCCTTTCGTTTTCACATGTCATTTATAAGGTACTTCCTCGTTTAAGGTTAACAAGATGTTTTGACTTTTATTAAAATCGAACTGCTTCTTGAGGGCCGGATCCATGGCGACCGTGTCGAACGTGGCCGGGTGGTGGTGCACGATGCCGTTCCACGACGAGCCCTCGTTCATGCTGATCTCCAGCTCGCGGTCGCGCCGCCGCGCCCGCTCCACCTCGTCCCTGATGAAGGGCACGTACCTGTCGAGCGCCGTGTCCGTGTGCTCCGCGTCGAAGCTGAGCTCCCTCGAGTCCGACTCCGCCGCCGTGCCGCCGCCGTTCGATCTCCCGCCGCCGCCCCCGCCCTCGCCGGGAACGGAGGTCCACGTGAACTCCACGCCCTCGAACACGTCGGTCATCGAGTCGCCGGGAACCATGGAGATCACGACGCTGCTCCGCGCGCGTCGCTCGCCGCCTGAGGCGCCGCCGCTGAGGCAGAACCGGGTCATGGACCGGGGGTCGATCTTGGTGGCGAGGTACGAGTGGGCGTCAGCGAAGACGCGGTTCTCGTGGCCGCGGCCGTACGGGTCGCCGTCGCCGGATGATGACGGTGCGGCGCTCCGCGGGGCGGGGCTCGAAGCGGGCGCGGACGAGCGACGCCGCCCATGCCACCGCCGCGCGCAGGTCGTGCGGCACGAGCTCCCTCGCCATGCCACGCGCCAGCACGGTGTAGGCCGTCAGCGTGGCCGCCGTGCCGACCGCCTTTCTGTAGGTGTCCACCGCCTTGGCCAACGACGGTGACGCCGCCGACGCCGACGCCGCCGCCGCCAACGACGAGGAGAGGTCCATGCCCACCAACCTTTCGACGAGAGGACGACGACGACTACACGACCTAGCTTTTTACGGTGGTGGGGACCGAGCCGTACATGGGTGAAATATATGGAAATAGATTACATTTATAAAAGGGATTTTCGGTTACAAGGAAAGAAACAATATTTTTATCTCGGCAAACAATCAAAAAAACCCAAAACTACATACAAAACTTTCACAGTGCACAAATCTTAGCATCTTTATCTTTACTACTTAAAAAGTATGTAGTGGTGGCGGTGAAGCCAACCTGACAGACACGCTTCATTCTATGCTGAGATCCAAGTGGCATGTACTACTTACGTTATCAATATTCTCTGGACGCTCTGAAAAAGCTTGAGATCGAATATTTTGAACTTTGACTATCAATTACTATAAAACTATATAAAACTATTTATTTAATTTAGTTAAAGGCACTAGAACAACATATATAGATTAATTAGTTTTGAAAAGTACTACAATAAAAATAAATATTTTTTATTTATTGTATAGGTTATAATAGAAAATTGTAGCTAAATATATCCTTTGGAGACTAGTGCCTTTGTTTGAAACGTTAGAAAATATTAACATTGTTTAAAACGTAAAAAATTTTAAACCAGAGGGAGTAGCAGTGATTGCCGTACTATGCATTTTCTCATGCAATTTTCCCACGATCCCAACATGCCACTAAAGGAACATATAGATATTAGCTATGGATACAACTTCATCTTTTTTTTTTTTCAATCGGCATTACCTACACAATATCAGAAGATACTACAAATAATCCTATCAACAAAACCTAGCAGCTTATGAAGATTACATGAAAATTTTGCATTAGTTAAGAGCAAGTTTAATAGTATAGCCAACTAATGGCTTCAAATCATCTATATCCAATTTAATAGCCAATTCATACAATAGTTACCTATAAACATATACTATATTATTAATACATGGTCTCATATGTTATACACACATTATATCTTGAAGCCCGTGCTGTAGCTGGCTATAGATCTATAGTCCGCTGCTTCTCTCTCCTATTTTATCTTATCGATATATGTTTGTAGCTAGCTTATAGTCTTCTATTGTACCTGCTCTCTAATTAGAGGATGTACTTGTCGCTGCTTGGGTGCACAAGGCAGACCCCGAGACTCGTAAAGTTCGCACAAATACCACACAAATAATAAAATATTAGATGATACCTTGTACTTTGCTATGGGATATATATTAAATATTGGAGAAATGATGAAATGATTTGTATTGAAATATTATGAAAATGATTTGAGAATGATGATTTAGCATGTTATGTTGAGTTTTATAATGAAATAAATTGTAGGTATAATTACTCTATGCTTACATGTTGAGCTTTGTGTGCTAAATGGATTGATGTGGCATGCTTGCATGTAGACTTTAGGCTGTGTTCATTTTCCCTCTTTCCTAATTCACTTCCCTTGTTTTACTCTATGCTTACATGAACATGCTTTTTTTAAAAAGTTTTTTATATGAAAGTTGCTTTAGAAAATCATATTAATCTATTTTTTAAGTTTTTTTAGCTAATACTTAATTAATCTCGCGTGGGCTTTGTTTTTCGTGTTGGAAGGCAAGATTAGGAACCTTGTCTCCCGAACACAGCCTTAGGAGTACTAATAAATACTACTACCTCTGTTTTTTAATAGATGACACTGTTGACTTTTTATCACACGTTTGACCATTCGTCTTATCCAAAAAATTTACGTAATTATAATTTATTTTATTGTAAGTTGTTTTATCACTTAAAGTATTTTAAGCATGATTTATATATATACATTTACATAAATTTTTTTAAATAAGACGAATGGTCAAACATATGTTTAAAAGTCAACGGCGTCATCTATTAAAAAACGGAGACGGAGAGAGTATGTTTGTATGATAAATTTTAGGTGTTTAGTGGGCATTAACTTTATAGAAAGAAGAGATAAGGTGATTAGTCCATCTCCTTCCGAGAACTAACTTTTAAGTGATCAACACGTCAATGGATGAAATGAAAAACCATTGCATGATTTGCTTAAAAAACTACTATTGAACTTTTTTGACAGAATAGATAGTACCGTCCGTCGCCAGAAGCAGTTTACACATAATCAGCAGTAAAATAGGTTACGTATTCCTGGAATAGCCGAAGCTAACGTGAGTAGAGCTGAGGGTACGAAAAAATTGGTTGAAGCGAAGCTAGCTCTCAGACGAGCTAGGATACGAGTCGAGGCTATTAATTGGATTCCCCATCTAATTAAAAACAACCCAACAGTTTAGTTGATACAAAGAAAAAGAGAAGAGGGGTAGAAAAAGTTATTAGATAGCGAAGCGAAGTAGGGCCAATGCTATCTAGTAATTTTTCTACCAACCTACCTACTATTGGATTTGAATCAATGACTCCTGCGTATGAAAGCACCATTGAGTTAAGTAAGTAATTTATCACCAGGAAGACTCTTTACTTCGATTGACTATAGATTGAATCCTCAATGGCGGACCATAGGTGGTCCGGGGCAAACAAACGACGATCGACCCCACTATTAAAAAAAAAGAAAGAAAATAGTGACTATTTTTTTAAAAAAGGAAAATAGCGATCCTTATTTCTTCCTGATTCATGGCGCCCGCCGCCCACACGCGCGTGTATTGATCAGAACAGAAGTGTCGCGCGACTCTCTCCTCCTCGCCCTAGCCTCGTAACACGACGCGTCAATGCAATCTCATTTGATCACGCGATTAGAGCGAGCGCCACGCCGCGCCGTCGCCGGCCCACGCACGACGCGCCTCCCACGCCCACACTGCACCGCACGCGAGTCTGCCGCCTTGGCTGCCACTGCGCCGCACTGCTGCTGTGTGTGCCCCCGCCGCGAGGAGCCGTCGTCGAGCCGAGTAAAACTGAAAAATAGAGTCACATACTCACGGAAATCTGCCTTCTTGTGTGCAGTGCGCTGCCGCCGACGTCTGGCCGCCTGCACCAACAATTTTAGGTTTTCCACTTGTGTACCTTTTTTAATTTCTAGATTTAAAATTTTTGAACTCTTGTACATTGTAATATTAAATTGTAGTACTATATTATAGATTGTTGAATCACGAAGAAAGATGAAGATATTGCATCTCTTCTTCAAAAGTATACAACAAATATGTTTTCTTTAAAGTGGGTGAAGAAGATATAATGAATACTTTTCTGGCCATTAGAAGGCGTAGACCTGATAAAAAGAAAAAGTAGTATGGTAGTCTTCTTTAAACTTCTATAACCGTATAAGTTTTTGAAGCTAAATTTTTACATAATAACTAATTTTATATGTTTCAATATGCTTTATTAAATAATTCTATCTAGTCTATCTAGCCTATAGTTAAACAAATAGTTTCACTCATTCTTTCATTCATCACTCAACGGTCCAGATTATCTCTCTCAGATCCTACGTCCCAAATCGCTCCCACCTCACCTCTCCTCTCCCTCCCAAAAGACCGAAACGCTCCGCCCGTAATTTCTGCCGCCGACGCGGCCTACCGACGCCATCTCCTCCCCCTCTCCTCTCCTCTCTCTTAGCCCGTGACCCCTCCCCCGCCGCCGCCGTCTCCCTTCGTCTCCCTCTCCTGTGCAGCCCCGTCGCGCCATCCACCATGCGCGCCCGTGATCTGCTCCGCTCTCCCCTCCGCTGGCCGTCGCACGACTCCGGGTGGCGGCGGGAGGAGGAGACCTTGGCAGCAGGCAGACGCCTCCCTCCGCATCTCCGCTCCGCTCTCTCCCCCTTAGAAGTTAGACCACCTCCACCGCCGTCGCACGCCGCATCGCCTCTCCGATCTCTCCCTGGCGGTTACGAATCGATCCCAGCCAGAGGCGACCAGGTCGGAACTCGGAAGCAGTGGCAGATGGTGCTGGGCCTGCAATGGCAAGTGTTCTCTAATAAGATCATGGTACCATGTGCATATTTGACAGTGAAATTATTTGCTTTTTGGAAGTAACATTTTCATTCCTGCAATGCAGCACTGATATGCTGACTAAACACATTTGCCAATTCAGATATTGACCATTTGTTTGTCAGTTGTTGCTTCCTTCTACAGTTATGCCGTTTTTAGCCCAATCATAGATGTTAGAATGCCAATCATTTAATATTGTAGTAATTTTCAAAAAGTTTATTATGAGATGATTTTTTAGACCTTTTCTCGTGGGCTTACGCTAAAAGCGAAAAATGTTATACTGACCATAAACTATGCAGGTGATATGGACCAAAGTTGGGGAGATCAACACTTTGTCCGTTTCTATGGCCGCAAACGCCGGCAACAGAATATGTGCAAAGAACCGGAATCAAGCTGCAGGGATAAAGCTCCATCCTTAAGTGTGATTGAGCAGGTACACTACTGAGGTTCTGGGGGTAAAGGTTATGTTATGTTATATTTCTTTCAAAATTAAGTTTTTTGTGCTTCATTTGTTTGGCTAATATATTTTAGCAATTTACATGGTGCAGATTTCTATCTTCAGTACATTCTCAGATTGTGATTTCACTATATACATATTGCAGATCTGCCAAATTGTTTACCACAGAGATTGCTTTTGTGTTTTCCTAGCATGTTTGTATTGTAGGAAAACACGATGTTGCTAACCGTGAGAATTCCGCTTAACTCAGTCCCCTGTTTTGGTTAAGAAAATTTGTGACCAAGATCTTTGGCCAAGGTCAGTTTGGATCCAGTTATGCCTCTCTTATCTTGATTCTTGAACAATAGAAGACTTTTAGTGATGCATAGTTAAGAATTTCCGACTTGCTTTTATAACCTAACACATGTATATAAGCTTTTTAGGAATAGTAGGATAGCTGATGCAAGTATACAGGAGACTTAAAAATCACTGGTTGTCACTGAATTTTAACTAAACCTCATAGATCCTAGGGAGAAAAGGGTTAATTGCATAGACATATGCAGCATTGGCAGTTGGGTTGCATCTTCTTTGGCGGTTGGGGTAAGCTGGCCCCCATCCTCTCTGTTCCACCCCCTACAAGGTACAACGAATTTCCTCTCTTCCTTTTCATGTTCTCATTCAGTGTGTCATGATAGTTTATGTAGAGTTTATTCATACAGTACAAAGATCAAAACGGACTTGGTGATGGTGATTGTATTGACCACCAAGCAGGTAATTTTTCTTGTGATGTTCATGTTTACTATTATTCCTATAGGCAACTTATACAGTTAGAACTAGACTCCTACACTGCCACCATCACTGAATGCACATCTGGTTCTCCCTTATTTTTGTTGGTATGTATGTAAGTACAAGTTTATGTTAAGCTTCCTTTTTAACAATATTTTGCTTTAGTGATATTCAGTGCAGTGCAAAAATCGTATATACTGCATGTTTCCTTGGAGAGGGTATATGCTGCTTTATTTCCTATAGGGGTATATAGTGATTTTTTTAAATACACAAACAATGGAAAGGTTTGTTTTCCATTTTCAGTTAATACAAAGCTATACATTATACTAACTATTTAAGAGAATATTTCTATTATCATGTGATATATTATACCATGTGCCCAAATATCCAATTTTGGGTGATATATTAGCTTGCTTTAGTAAGCACATAAAAGATGAACAGAGCTTTAGGGTGTATGATTTGATCTCACATTACAGTATCTTTCTTGCTTTTCCTTAGATTATGGTACTAGAATTGATTTGGCTTTCATAAGGATAATTTGTAGAGATACATGACTGCACATAATAGGCTCATCTTCTATTCTGTTGGAATACAGGGTTGAAAAAACACATAATGTACTTTCTCTCTTTTTTAGTCCAGTCATAGTGCCACTATGCATGTTTGTTGTTATGACTAAAAGGCAAGGGAACACATTTCTTAGTGTCTCTGTTTTTTCAGTTCTTGCAATACCCAAGTTTCCAAAAAAATTGGTTTCCTGAAATATTTTTGGGGCTTGCCTAATGCTTGAATTTCTCCTATTATTTTTCCCTCCATTCATATGGCTGCAGGTTCATGGTATTAGCCAATTAATTATTGAAATTGGAAAAAAGAATTCATGTGTAGTATCATTGGGCATTAGGAAATTCCTCCACCATTACAGTTGTTGCTCGGATGCAGTACTCCTTCCTGTGATCCTGTCTTCCCCGCCTCATTGTAAGTGGATAATTAATGAGCAGGCTGTCAATGTCATAAATAGGTATTCATCTTGAGTTATGGTGATACTTGTCTTAAATCAATTGGAATCTAAATCTTACACATGGAATTTAGGCTGTCATGCAACGAGTCTTGATCCTATATTTCTATTAAACTGTTTTCATGTGCACTATAACCACATTACTCTAATGGTAACTTCTTGGTCTTGTATTTTTGTTGTATTTTTTTTATATCTCCATGTTCATATGCACTGTAGGTCCATGGAAAGACCCGACAGCTGCATGTTGTAAATATGACAAGATGCAATTATGTAGATGGACTTGAACTCCACATTTTTCTCATCCATAGCCAAATGTGTGTAGTGCGTCAGTCATCTTAAGTTATGCCAATATATTTCATTTAGACCCAATGTTTTGCTTTTTGACATGCTCTTTCATAGCAAATGATTTCTGTAATTAACCATTCTCTATATACTACAGACTCTGTTGATTTCATAGCCAATATATTTCATTTGGACTGTTGATTTGTTCATAAACTGTACCCTTTTTTTAGGTGTTCACAAACAGTCGTGCTTGTAAAATCTCTTGCCATTTTCCTCTTTGAATGTTAAATTTAATAATATTTTACTCTTTTAGGATTTTCCCTTGCCAATAATATTGGTGGAGAACAGTGGAAGGTGCAAAACTAATGAGCATGGGGAGAAGGTTTGACTATATCACCAACTGCAAGGAAGTGTGCTGGGATGCAGCATTCAGATCCTTTTCTGCCCATTGTCAAATGGGATGGCAAGCCAGTTGGTGATGGTAAGTGCTATCTATATTCTTCATAACCGAAAGTAAGTAGAATTTTGCATGAAAAATTCATCAGCCATTGATGCATCTGAATTTATTCAAGTATATTCTAATTTTACAAAGCATGAAGTAGTACTGCTGGTGGTTTGCTGCCATTTTATAACAATTTATTTTTAAAGATAATTATAGTAGCGAATACTTGATGAAATACTCTCTTAATATCTGGTTTATTATAGGATTGCATGCACTTGAAAGAATTCAGGATAGTTGGTATATCCTTATATATTCTATACATTTGCGGTTCAAATTTACAGCATGTTCTATAAACTAATTCATAAATGACAAATTTCAATTTATTATGCAGAATGACAAAAAATGCTTTTGCACTGTTTAACATGCTTTGCGAAGGCATGAGGACTGGTCCAGATAGGGTTCTTGTTACTTATGATCATACTTGAGCTAGACAATGACTCCTGAAACTTTGGTAGGTCTTTTCTGTATAATTATATCCTTCCATTTAGGTCAGATTTGTCTCCGGTGATTAATATAGTATAAAATAATCAAAACGCTTCTCCTTGTAATATGAAGTTTGGTTTGTATTATTTGTAGGTAATAAGTTTTGTTTGTATTCCTAAGATACAAAAGTTGTGATTTTATATTTTGGAGGCTATATAATTAGCAACAATATAATAACTCTCTCCGTAGTTTTTTTCCTAAATATTAAATTTATCTTATTAGATACTTGGATACCGAACCATGTGCTGTTATTTCTATTACTAAACATAGACGTAGCGTTAGCACGGGTATATTACTAGTATATCATGGTACACTTTTGGTGATTTTGTCTATTTTACTATCTATATTTGCATTGCATATATTAGCATCATTACATTTACTGTGTTTTAAAAAGAAAATTTAGGTTGGACCACCCATATCTTAAATCCTAAATCCGCCACGGTGTACGTTGGGCATGTTGGAGAAGAACGCTTGTCGAATACCTTGTGCGCACATTGCTCCTGTCTTGTATGGCAACAGACGAAAACAGTTTCGACTGACGAAACTGACGAACGTAGGAACGAGAGAAGTTTCAGAAAAAACTGAAGATTTTGAAGAAATTTGTGGAGCGATTTACTGGGGATTTCATTCAAATGAATTGGAAAACATACAAATTAGAAGTTGAGCTAATCTCCTACTTATACTCAACACAAAGAAAGAATCTGAGGCTAAATCGTGCCACCACCCCACGATCCACAAATCTTTGAATTCATTTACTCGCGCACCTACGCTAAACTCACGCCCACGCTACTGACGCGATCTCCATCCCCTGATCGCCGCATCGCTTGCATCAGGTAACAAACTCCCAACGAACTTATTCTCCGACCCGATGCAATCCCGGGTCAATATGGAGCACATTGGGGCCACAACTGAAATAATCTAGCCTATATTCACTACGCAATTTTTGCTACAGGACATCGCAATTGTGTGGTTTTAGTTTTGGGAGAAGACATCCCATAATCGTGGATATTTACCGATAGACACCACGCCATCTAAAGGGTACTTGCCGTGCTGATGTGGCGGACGAAAGTCCATTTTTTAACGCGGTCGGACGTAAATACCCCTATGCCACGTCAGAAAAAAAAAAGGGCCTCCCGTCAGGCCACTCCCCACCGCCGCCAGCTACCTCTTTCACCTCTCTGCCGCCGCGCCAAAGCCGTTGCCACGCTCGGCCGCTGCCGCCGCGCGCGGCCACATCTCCCGCGCGAGCACCACCCGCGCGCCACTGCCGCTTCGCCACCATGACTGTTAGCACCTCCAACCTCCATCTCCGCCCGGACGAATCGCCACCGCGACCGCCGCCGTCTTCGTCTTGCTCGGGGCCACCACCACGCTGCGAGCGCCGCCCCCACGCGCGGCCAAGCCGGCCCGCACGACGCCTGCCGGCGGAAGTGGAGCTGCTGCCTCGGGCGGTAGCCGAGTGGTGGAGCGAAGACGACGGCTGCATCTGGCTCGCACCGCCGCCGCCGCCGCCTGCCATTGCTCTTGCTCCCGGCATCGAGGTAACCACACGCACAAAAGTGATTGATCTAGTACAAACAATGATGAGTGATATACAATAATCTGCTAGTTGATTAATTAACCAAGCTTAGCTTGATTGATGCAGGAAATCAAAGAGAGAGCCTAATGTGCCTATTAACCACGGGATGTCGAGCCTAATGTGCAATTAACACCAGTAACGGCTCGCTCTGGTACGAGCTTGCTTACGCCGAGGCCAAGGGGCGCGTCCGCCGCGGCCACCGTGTCTGGCAGATCGGCTTCGGCTCAGGCTTCAAGTGCAACAGCGCCGTCTGGCGCGCACTCCGCGACGTGCCGCCCGTGTCCACCTTCATCACGGCGGCGTCGCCCATGGCCTTGCTCGGCAGCTCGTTCGCCGCCGGCGTCGCCCGACGCTGTCGCCGTCCGCCACGCTGCCTCCCCATCCACCCGACGCCGTCGGGCCGCCTTCAGGCCGCCGCCATTGCCTCAGCCCGCGCCGCTGCGGCCGGTCGCTTGCCGCGCCATCGCACGCCTGCCGCATACCGCTCAGGCGCGCACGCGCGTGAGGAGAAAGGGAAACGAGAGGGAGAGAGATGAGGAGAGATCGAGAGGAGAAGAAACCGAGAGAGGAAAAAGAAGAGGAGGGGGGACACTGTCAAGTGGGCCCCACATAACCTTATTATCTCTTGCGCAGGGGTATTTACGTCCGATCGCATCAAAAAAGGGCCTCCCGTCCGCCACGTCAGCACGGCAGACGGCGCGGTGTCCATCAGTAAATATCCACGATTATGGGATGTCTTCCCCCAAAACTTCACTTTCACGGTGTCCCTGAGCTAAAACCACACAATTACGATGTCCTGTAGCAAAATTTGCCTATTCACTACTAATTTTTTTTCTTATTTCACTCATACTAACACTGATACTCTTACCAACACTGATGTTGCCATCCTGCTAGTATATTTAGATTTCCTATAGCTTGTATCTCTTTAAGTTAAATGGTTAAGATAATTATTTGTAAGACTTTCATAAGTATTTTTTACGGGCATGTAGTAGTGCTCATTTCCTAAATGTGGCTAGTTGCTTGTAACAAGAGTAAATTTCACATCGGATCCACCTTTATTAACCAAAGTTTTACAATGAATTAGAGACAAGTCTATCTTTTCACTTAATATCATATATAGTTGCCGCTATCTCCGGCTAGCTGTTTGAGAAGGATCTAGCTATTTAATCTCATGTAGAATTTCGCCGCTATAGATCCATTTAGTCCGCTATAGCTACTACTATTTGAGAAGGCCAATCGCTAAATGTCTTAGCTCGATATTTCAAACACTCGACATAAGTCATATGAATTGATTTGAGGGATTCCACCACAACCAAAGCCCTTGTCACTTAATACCGAAAATCAAACTATATATTCTTTTTTTAACTCACACTTTTGTGAAACACCCAATTGCAAGAACAAATCTTTGTACTTTTGTGTTTTTGGTTGCTGCCCTACCGATCTTTCTGCTCTCATGATGCTCAGTTTCACAAGAAAAACTTGCACGATGCATGGCTGAAGGATGAATACCCAAATTATGAACCCTAGCTAGTCCAAAGTGCAAAAATGGTACTGCCATTTCCGCCAAGTCATCTGCCCTAACCACCAAGGCCGCCGCAGGCATCTCCCCGCCCGCGGCCACCGTCAGCCACAGCCCGTGGAAGCTCCTGGCCCAGTGGCGAAGCTACCGGGGGTGCCGGAGGGGGCCAGCACCCCCCTATCCCGAACCCCCTGGCTGCTAGTAGTATATTACAGGGTTAGGCAATTAGGCAGCATCCACTGTTAGGGCATTAGCACGTTAGATTATAGGCAGACTCTCAGTACTTAGTCTTATGATTTTCATCTTTTCAAAGTAAAACAGAAAATGCTTTTTATGAGACTATTTGGTAGTTTACATTGAAAGAATTTAGCAACAAGGACTGGTTCCAAACTTTCAATGATATTATGAAAGAACTGAATTCAAGTTTTTTAGGCAAAACATATGATGTCTTGTTATATTGAACATTTGAACCGCTTTTTTGAAAAAAACATAACATATGATGGTTTTATAATCTAGCTACAACGAAGCTATATTTATATACACATTGATTATTATCGGTAGTGACTATTTGGCTCATTTACTATTCATATTGGTTAATCGGTTTTATGACTTTCTCCCCCACACCCCCCTAACCTCAAATCCTAGCTTCGCCACTGTCCTGGCCCTGTGGCACCTTACCGCCGCTGTGCTCCTCATCACCGCCATCGTGCCTCTGTCCACGTTGGTCATGCCGTCGTCCAGTGACGGAGCTCGCCACCGCCGCCGTCCTTGGAGCATAGGATGAGCCAGTGTCCTCTGCCCACCTGCTCTCCAACAACCCATCATAGTACACCTTGTCTTGGACTTTCAGCTCGTCGTCCGTGAGGCATACCAAGACGGCAAGACCCCGTCCGTCGCAGCCGAGGTGCTGCAGGCTTGGCGCGTCGTCGGCCACTAGGAAATCCTCGGCCGAGTAATATGTGACGGAGGTAACAGTGAATATGGCAAAGCAGCCGTTTGGCATCGGTTGAGAGTGGCTTTTTAACAAATTCAATCCGCGAAGTGACATTTGAGTGAAACCCTCTTTGACAGTGGCAGAATGTCCGATTTCTCCCAGCCGGCAAGGATTTTGCCTTCAGGCACGGTGGCAAAGCGCCAGCGGTGCACGGTGGTGTCGTAGCCTTTGTTCCTCCCTTCCTTCTCCCACATGGCCTGGTGCTCCAGGACGAACTTGCTCTTGCCTTTGCAGTTTGCACTCCTGCGGCATGTACAGCGCCACCGCCGCGCGCGTCTGCTTGCATGGGCCATGGAGCCATGGATATTCGACGTGGTGGACGTGGACGTGTCGGTGTCGAGGCCGGCCATCGGCTCCCGAGCTGCGTGCGTGTGCGTGCGATCTCGTGAGGATGCGGCGCGCCCGACGCGCGTACGTACGTTCGAGCCCGACGGCGACCGAATCGGAGAGAAGAATTAATTCCTTCCTGGCTTCCGATTCCGATTCCGATTCGGATCCCAACTCCGATCCCGCCGCGCCACCACCACGCACGCCCATATATAACTCGGACACCTCCCTCCCGGCCAGCCGCCTCGTTCCATCCATCCATCCATCCCCTGATCCGTTCATCTCGTCGCCAAGGTCGATCGATCGTCTCGGCCGGCCTCCCGATCGGGATTATAACTGCTAGCTAAGCTTGTAATTGCATGCCTCCGTCCAGCGCCATGAATTCTAGGCCCTCCTCATCTACGGAGTACGAGTGTGGTCTTTGTCAAGGCAAGAAGAACAATGTCTTCGAGGAGAATCACGCCATGCTTGCCAACAAGGTAGAAGCTGGTGGCGCCTACCGCCACACCCCGAACGCATGGCGCTTCGCCTACCAGCCACCGTCCCTGCAGGTTACCGGCGACCAGCCAGCCACTAGCACTGCACCGCAACCGGAGAAACAAATAACCATCAAGGACGACAACGACGACGACCACCACATCAACAACGTAAACATCGCCCTGAACTCCTACAACTACAACATGGCCAATGAGAGTATCTTCAACAGTGGCCTCCTGCACCCTAACACTCAAGACTACATTTCGGGTTGCAAGGACCTTTGGTATGGTCCATATGAAGACGATGAGAAGAAGGATTGGCTTTCATCATT